CTTAAAACTTTTCTTTGCATCTCCTTTGAAACACTCTTGTTGAGTCATCTGTACTAGTCTCAACTCACCACCCGCCCAGACAGTATAGTGGTTAGGACAAACGATTGCGATACCGAAGGCCCCGAGTTCGAATCCCAGAGAAGGCATGGATGTAAAATTTTCTGCTTCCTCATAGGAGGTAATAGTGGCCGCCTCTTTAGGTGCCTCCATAATAATATGGCTACCACTTCTGGCCTTAGTAGTGGCGAAACCCGAAATTGCTAGTTGCCCGCCATTAAAAAAAAAAAAGAAAAAAGAAATTTTTTCGAAATTCTGCTGCGTTTTTTTTTTCTGCAAAGATAATTATCTCTAAATTTTAAAATCCTACCCACTAAACGATCTATTTATGAGTATTTGACGAAGTACGAATAGATCCCATTATACTGGATTATATTTTCAATTTTAGCCAAAGATTTTGTAGATTTTAATTTCTCTCTTTCTATCTTTCCTTTATCAATATCTTAATTCAAGATGTTTCCACGGTGTTTAAAATCAGTAGGTTCAGTCAACTATTGTGGGTCCTCCCACCATCTGAGTGACAAAAGCGGTATTACTGCACAGCCCTAAGATGACAAATCAGCTGGTTTCAGTTCACCAACTACATGATTCAGTGCGAAAGCAAAAGTTAGTTTTCGTATATCTTACTGTCGACAGACTCGGATTTCGGCTAGCTGTGTATTTTGAACGCCCTCTTGCCACACAGACACTATACGTTTACAAACATCCGTGCCTTCTCCGGAATTCGAACCCGAGCGCTTCGGCGCGGTAATAAGAATCACTAACTACTACCCCGTCTGGGCGCCATCTGTTACTTAATACAGGAATATAGTCTTGTTCCTTTAATTCCAAGACCCACCAGCGATCTAGCAATTAAACTGCTTAACACTGGTAGTTCGGTCCGCGGCTCGAATAACGACGAAAAGAATAGCTGCGTGAGTGTTTCCATGGTTTTCCTCAACTGCAACATCTATACAATATATACCTCAGCATCCTCCTTTACCGTCAGGAAAATACAAGCCGCATATGCATTCTTCCTTGCGTCGCAGGAAACATGAAAACTCAGGTCAGCTGTTTCTAGATCTCTAGAAACAGCTGACCTGAGTTAGAATTTGTTTCCGATGTAAATCTATCTACATTTTATCTACATACTTCATCTTATCTACATTTTTCCTGCCAGATTTCTTAGAGTAATAATTTCGATAATAATTTAGCTAGGTAGCTAAATCCAAAAGAATCAAGTATTATATATATATATATATAACAATTAGTTACCGTAATACATTGAAGGTAACTGTCTGTTGGTTACTGGGCTAGAAGACACTAAAAATAGGTCTATGTCACAAAACATTTTGTCTAAGGAAATGTCCCATAGCAATCCTAAAATTTGTACATGACTTTTCCCTGAGGTCTCAGTATATTTCTTAAAGTTGCTGGTTTATTCTTCAAGTTCAAATTGTTCCATGGACACCATGTTCAGCATCTTCTATAAATTTCTTCAGTTAGTTTTCGTTTTCTACACTAGTGACGCAATTATCTGCATAAAATGACCGCTTCAACTTCCGTTCAATACACCTCAAAGCGTCAGGTTCCAATAGATTGTCTATAATTCCTCCTAGCAAGAAGGGGCTAAATTAGAGTTCAGCATAACTTAATTATAATCTATTGATTAATAAATGAATTACAATATATTTGCAAATATCATTGTAATTCAATTACTTGTAATTACCATGCAACTGTGCTTACAAACCCAGTGTAATTGTAATTTGAAATACCTCAATGTAACTGTAATTATAAATTGCGCAATTAAAATGTAATTACATTATAAATCGTATATTTACAATGTAATTGTAATTGAACTTAATTCAACTAGAATGTAACTGTAAAGACAACAATTACAATAAAACTGTATTGGAAATTGTACAATTACAACATAATTGCAATTGCAGTTAATTCATTTACAATGTAATTGCACGATTTCTAATTTCAGTTACGTTATAACTATAGTAAAATTATCGCAGCAGTTTAATTATACTGTATGCACATTAACTAAAATTACAGTGTAAATGCAGTTAAATTTATTATATTTGCGATTTGTTACACCTTGAGGGAGGCGCATGTTTTTACTTCTGATATAAAATATTGTCCTCGGACAACAAACTTTGCAGACGATCATACCTTGGAAATTGACGGATGAGATGAATGAAAATAATCTAGAAGCAGCTTTCGGAAAGTACTACCGGTTTGTGAAATATAAGATCTTGATTAAACTTTCATTTGCCCTCGCGTATAGCAGTTTCTCAGGATATTCAGCAAAGGATAAGATCCTTAATTTATCTTTAAAATTTAAACTATGTTTTATTACTGATCAAAGTTGGTTCTAGTTATTTTACAGTTGAAATTATAATTAATGCGGTATATTGCAGTTGTAACATAAGTGCATTTAAAATTACATTATAACTGCAAAAGCATTCTGGCACAGCAGCAACCGAGCAGTTAAGGCATTTTTTAATACTGGTAGGTCGATTCGGGGTCGAATCCTGACGAACAATCTAAACGCTTAGGTATGTTCGTGATTTTTCTTTCATGAATACAAACCTTTTTCCTTTAGAAAATCCCCCACAAAGACATCCACAAATGTTTTGCCGCATTCAGTTAAACAAGCAATCAACTCGTAATCTTTCTTAACAAATCTACACGTATTTATTTTTATCCGAAACATTTTCTGCATTAGAATTCGCTTGCAGGAAAACTTACTTTAAATATTTATTGCAAATATTCTTCGTTCGTATTTAGTAAAGGCCTAATTCATAATTAATAGCATTACTATAAATTTCAATTCCCACGTTATTAAAGCAGGACGGTCTCAGATCTAAAATTACTCTATTTTTCTGACGGCAACTGTCATTTCCAGACTCTTATTCCACTCGTAAGAAAATAATGTTTTAACTGGTGGCCACATAAAAGCTTACAGGAGAAAAACGCTCACTGCAGAAGCCTACAAAAGTAACGCCATTTTGATTATAGCCTACGTGACAAAGCCCACACAGATAAAAGCTCAAACTGATGAACATCCGCATTGTTATAAGCCTATATTGATAAAAGTCTATATGAATAAAAGGGCATATGGTTTTTATCAATATAAAAGGCATTTGTGATTCAAATTATAATAAATGAAGCATCTGAATCTGATTTTTGACGTCTCAAAAATATGTGTTTATTTATTTATTTGTATATTTTACTAAATCTAAAATAAGCTTTTCTTAAGTGGTTAGCTGCTACTACGTTTCAATGATAAATCCAAAATTTTATTAGTCCAAAGAGGCGTCAGCCCAAATTGGCTATTGTATCGAAACAGGATTTTGCGTTATATCACTACAGACGGCGTTATTACTTTTAAAGTTTTTGTCACCAAATATTACCGCCCTGTATTATCAAGGCTAACAGGTGCAATCTTGCGCTCCTTGCCACGAAGAATATCGTGGGCTTGGGCTGACTATACATCAGACAAGTGAGCGTTATACAACAACAACAACAAAAAGTCATACAGTGTTAAATCCAGTAAGCGTGGGGTAAAGGAATTTTGAATAACCCGGTATTACTATATTGATATACGTAGGTTGGGGCAAAAGTCAGGATAACGATTTTTTTCTTGAAGATACCAGTCCGGTTGGAAAATATGACATATACAGACGAAAGGACAAGGTCTTAACTACATGTGTGGAGAATGAATAGCACTAAAATATCGTAACACACGAATTTATTACGGTAGTATACAGAGCAATGTGGCTTTCACCGTGCAAAAGAATGATAACACAATACACATAAAGTTGACATGACAAACCTGGGCCTAAAAACCCTAAGTGTAGTTCTCTGCTACTGTTACCACACGCTGCCAACGATGTGGGAGGCGCTGAATACCATCAGCCTCAGCATTTGCCGCTTCATTTGTGAATCGGGACATTCTGTTGGCGCACAGCATTAGCAATGTCTCTCGTGTTGCAAACCGCCTACCACGTATTGGTTCCAAAATCTTGGGAATGAGATCAAAGTCACAGGGAAAGAAGGTCAGGAGAGTACATTTTGGGCTGCTCCAATTCTTCCCTCATCTCACTAACGCCGGAGTAGCTGCCGTACACATCCTGCTTTATGTGGTCTTGTCTTCATTATCGTGCAGAATTATGCACTGCACTATCCACAAGATCCGGACGTTTATCCCGAACGCCATGTCGTACCTGTAGCACCAGGAAGTCCCTGTAATACTGTGCAGTCACTGTTCTGCCATGAGGAACAAAAGTGGCAAACAATGATTACCCTGACGTCATACGCGACGATCACCATCAATTTGACTGGTGAAGGATTACTGACGGACCTTCTCGCTGCCTTGGCTGATCCTAGGATGGTACCACTCCGCGGACTGACGTTTCAGTTCTGGTTCGTATGCTCTGGCCCAAAATTCATCGATAGCCATTATTGGTGACAAGAATTGATCGCCGTCCTGTTGCGAGCGTGCAAAGTGGTCGGAGTACTATATTGCATAGCGCACCAACCTTTGAACTTCCGTCAGTGCATGCGGTACCCACGGCGAAGCGATTTTGCGTAGCTGTAGCTCATTACGCAATATCTGAGAACGGCTATTTTGATGCAAGCGCGCTGTTCAACACGGGTTATTTCCATCTCGCACGACACTCACCAGCTGACTGATTTCAGAGCCCTCGCTACCACAGAGCCAGCTATCACAGAGCCATCTGTTCTTCTGCATACACACTATGCATGCAGAGCTTCCACACGACACATATACGTTTTGTAATCTGCTCACATATCTACAAGAAAAAAATAGTTGCCATGACTTTTGCCCGAACCCTCGTATATTGCACTAATCTCTTCTTTGATAAATACATAGCATTCTAATTTAGGAACTTTTTTTAAATATTTGTTAAAAGAGTGTTTTTTTTAAATAATCATATCAGTATAGTTTATTAACTGTTTTGTCTTGCCTACAGGTCCGTGATGAAAGGAAGAACTGTCTCGACGTTCAAAAGGACGAAAACCTTCAGGAAGAAAATGCACGTGATTTCTCTTTCTTCGTTTCTTCTTTCTCGTTCCGCATGGTCCGCTTATCGGATACCTTATTCCAGATTTTTTCTTTCCTCAGATGAAGCTGAAGAAGATGATAGAAGAAAAAGAGCAAGAAATAGCCAGACTCAAGGTAAGATTCAAATATTATAAGCATTTATAAGCTCTTTATAACATGAAACCATACAGGAGAACGGTGGTCTCAAACTAGAGGCCATCGAAACTAAGCCGCGAAATTATACAAATCAGTTGCAAATACCGCGTTGCAAAGAATTCAAGATTTCAATTATTTCAAGTAAGAGTTCATGTTTTTCGTTACCAGAAAATCTATAATATGAGATAATAAAAAATGTTATATAAAATGTGTTAAAATTTTGAAGCTATAGATTTGATTAACTTATTATATGTACTTGTCAAAAAATAAGTGCGCTCAGTTACGAATTCTTGCACTTAGATTAATCGCTTTATTTTAGAATACATTTATATGTGAATAGCTTTTTCTCTAGCTGCAAATCAATAGGAAAAGAACACGAATGATGAGCATCTATGATCTGTGATGAAGTTAATTTTGAGTAATTTTTCTTCAGTGTGTTGATATTACACGAAAGCGAATTTTGTATTTACATACAAAACATAATAATTTATATACTAACATATGCATTTTAATGTATGCGTAGATGAAAATTTCAATAAACAAGAGAAAGTGACCAGATTGCCATTATATATTCTCAAGTTTTATTCTGCTTGTATTAAAGTAAGTTGCTTAAATCCAAAGTAAACTGATTTAATGATTTATTTAACATACTGAAATTATTTGAAAAAAATGTCAGTTTTAAATACTAGTATTAATCCCTCAATATATTCGAATTAAAAAGTGTAACCAACAAAAGTGTTTGCAAATACCAAACTTTACATTTCAGGTAGAATATAAATATAAATTTAAATTATCTTCCTTTGTGTTTTTATTATTTTTAATTGTTTAGATTACTTGTAACCAAATATTTAATATTTATAATAATAATTGTTACTAAATGTTTAGTAAGCGGAATTTAAAATTGAATTAAAATATTTTTTGATATTGTTGATCAATAATTTTCATTTTGTTAAAGAAAATCTAGCCCGTCAGCTGTTTTCAGATCGTGCATTCTGCCCGAAGGCAATTCATGGTTGAGACAACTGCTATGGAACATGGCAAATATTCTCAGAGAAGAGAACGAAAGGTGTAATTACACAGTACTCTTGCACGTAGCCAAACTTCTGAAGAAACTAATTATAAAACTTCTAATTATTGTTATGGTCTGAATGATTTAGGTACAAAGTTTCAAAATTAGTTCACTGCTATGATAGTTCGCTAACATGATAACACTTGACGGGATACGAATAAATGAAAAGCTGAACGAGCTGCTAAGACAGCATAGGTCCATAGTTCTTAGGAGCTCAAGTGTTCGAAAGATGCATGCATGACATCATAGAACTGACATCTGCGTGCGGTTTTTCTTGTGAACTAATGTAATATATCTGAATCATCTTATTGAGTTTGGTTATGGTGAATGTTACTTGTGCAAAATTTCATATTCGTAATTAAAAGTTCATCCTCCTCAATTTCAGTGTAGTAGATCGTGGTAAGGCCGTTTAAGAGCGGAATCATACCCATATAATATAACTCGTGCAGGAATTAATATAACTCGTGCAGGTAAATTATGCTTGATTATTGGTAAAAGACTTGCAAGCATTATGCTATCTATTGCGAACTTGTTTGTCAGATAGATTTCTTGTTCTTTACCACTTTCTGCTGCTGCATTCCTCTGTTGAAAAAGATTTTTCAAGTTGAGTTTTAGTCTTGGGATCCTTTATCAATTGAACCTTAGTCTTGGGTACTATGGTAGAAGAGTTTTCATAGGCTGAATTGATTTCATCTGTTAAATTCTTGGCCAGGCTGCCAATATTATCCCCCGAATACATTGTTGGAAACGTGTACTGGGTGTTATTCAGAGCTTTCGCAAAATTTTGCCAATTAATAATGAAGGCTCTGTTGTCTAGTGTTATATAAGAACGGATGTCTAGGTAGAATGTGTCAAATAGAAACTAAGGAATGTGTGGAGCATGCAGCTCATGTAAGTTGCAAATACTAAAATTTAAGAAACTTTATGAATAGATCCATCTATTGTAAGATTTTATGTTAGTTAATCAATTATCAAACTTGACTGTAACCTCTTTCCTTAGTCTTCACCAGGATGCAAATTACTTGTAGATTATTTAAGTCGAAAGTTTGGATGTTTTAGAGCTTATGACAGTCTCGCTTGCAATCCACGTCCTATCGTCAGTTCCTGAAAAGTTTATTCCGGCTTTAGTAATTTTCCTGGCTGATCTTAAATACTTCTCGTTAATTACTTGCCGTTAAATCTTAAATACTTGCCGTTATGAACTACAGCTTAAGTAGTTCACCTTGTGTAGTCTTCAACTGGGTTACTTAAATTTAACTTCATCTTATGTTATTCAAAATACCGGTAAGTAATGGAGTTATATTCTGCAGCACAAGTGGTGCGTTCTTTTATTTAAAGAGTTCAATTAAAAGTTCTTTTGAAAGCATTCCTCGTGGTTAAAGATAGGTTCAAACCTTCATAAGATTTCATCATCCTAATTCAGACTACATCGATATCTCGATTGTCAGTCTAGTAAGTTCTAAAGAACATTGGTTTAAACTTCTATACAAGCAGTATCCAACATCTGTCGTCCAACTTTCTAACAAGCCATGCCTGGCGACGATGCAGCTCTTAGCCTGCCCCCCCCAAGACTAAGTTTCTACAGTACAACAAAACCAAATACAAGGATTTGAGTGTGTTTTAGAAAAAATTTGTGCATCAATGAAACCACTAAATAGTTTTGATGGCAAAAGTTCGGCTTTGTCCTTTATCAAAAGTTTGGAAATCCACTTTTTACTATACTCGGTTGGATAAATACAAAATATTGCTTTAGAAACAGCTGTTCTGAAAAGTCAAGAACTGACCTGGTATGAGGGCGTTGAAAAGTATATGCTAGGTTCAACGGGCTATGCGAATTAGAAATTCGATTTATTTCAAAATGCACTTTTGAGATCATTCCTCGCGCTTAAAGATAGGATCATATTGGATGGAGAACTTTATGGTAAATATCAGCTGAATGCCAATGATTTAACTGATTTCATTTTACGAAAAGTCTAGGTGGGGAAATGTTACATGGGAAAAACTCCGATGCAGGATTTATTGACATAATATTGCCTAGTTTGGTCTCATGTATCTAAGATTTTATGTAGCTAGAAACTAAATTGCGTTAGAACAGCTTTTTGAATTACTGTGAAATTTGAAAACTGACATGTGCCAGAAAATATGCATAGGCGGAAATACGAAGAAAGTGTTAACAAAAATTTTGGAAAGCTTGTAGCCAAAAGAGGTGTCAAATTTTAAAGAAGAAAAAATTTTCTAGGCCGGCGAAATTTTTCATCGGCTAATAGCGATCACCAACATAAACCTCATAAACATTTTGATGAAAATAGCGCGGGTTTTGAGAAGCAAGAAAACTTTTAAACTAGGTAGGGGCGTTGTGGATCAGAGAGGTCAGTCACCTCAAAAGAAAGAAAAATGCATCACTTTAAATGAACGAAACAACGTTGTTGAAGTCGATAATTGTTGAATCATACCGTATTTACGATTACACTGGACATACAGTTCGCACAAAACATTGATAATGAGGCAATAGCATCGATTGAGAACATAATGTTTGGCAATCGCCTAACCCAGCACTGATACAATTAAGAGCGGCTGGAAATGACCTTTTTAATAGTGGTTCGCAAAGGGAAATACACTCTGATATCGATGAATTGGGTACATTTGTTCAAGCGAATCTTCTGAAATTATTTCCAGTACAATGCATAGTGTGGATTGTTAGAAGCCAAAGTGTTGGATTGTATTTCCTACCACCCGGAAGCACAGGCAAAACTTTTCTTATTGCACTTATTTTGGTAACCGTACGATCGCAAAAATATATTGCACTGTCTGGCATGTATTACGGTAACTCTTTTAGATAGTGGCTGAACAACACATTCGGTATTGAAATTGCCGTTAAATATGCAAATCACTGAGACACCAGTACGCAATATCAACCGAAATTCTAAAATGAGTAAAGTACTCCAATTATGTAAACTCATTATATGGGTCGAATATACTATGGCACACAAAAAATCACTGGAAGCACTTCACGGTATACTAAAATATTTAAGAGAAAATGAAGAGCTCTTCCGTAGCGCACTCATTTTATTTTCTGGTAATTTTCGACAAACTTTACCAATTATGCCATGCTAAACACCCGCTGATGAACTTAATGCATGTTTCAAATCATCAATTTTGTGGCAATACGTACAGGAACTGACTTCGAATACTAACCTGCGTGTATAGGTACAACATGATGCGTCCGCTAAATGTTTCGCGAAACATTTGTTGAATACTGGAGACAGAAAAATAGCAGTCGATGGTATCGCACAATGTATCGCATGGCTAAACAATTTCTGTAAAATCATAGCAACCAAAGAAGAATTGATTTATAAAGTTTTCCCAAATTTGACTCAGAATTACAAAAGTCATCAGTGGCTCAGTACACGTGCTATAACAACGATGTCAAAGATATCAATCATCAATATCACCATTCGAAACAAAAAATACCGGACGAAGCGACAGCGTATAAGACCATCGATATTGTAATAGAATCAAGAAGAATTGGTCAACTGCCAATTAAATTCTTAAATTCCCTTGGTTTGCCATGCATGCCGCAGCATGTTTTAACATTGAAAACTGGGGTGCCTATCATATTTCTCCTAAATATCAATCCGAAATGACTTTACAAAGGCACTAGGCTTGTAGAGACATAGGTATTTAGGAAGCAGGCAAGATGAAAAATTATCAACACCTTCGCCGGGAATCGAACCACGGACCTCTGAAATACTGGCTCAGTGCGCTGACCACTACACCAAGAAGGCACGCTTGGAAAGGTGGGAGAAATACCTTATATACTCCCCCTTTTAAAGGGCGACTGGGTTTTTTAGGGGACACAGTCGCCAAATCCTGGGTGTGGAGATTCATCATCCACGACCCTTTTAGTTCGGGCGCCACTGTAGAGACATTAGGAACTTAGAAAGCAGGCAAGATGAAAAATGAACAACGCTTTCGCCGGGAATCGAACCACGGAACTCTGAAATACTGGCTCAGTGCGCTGACCACTACACGAAGAAGGCACGCTAAGAAAGGTGGAAGAAATACTTTATATACCCCCCCTTTTAAAGGGCGACTAAGTTTTTTTAGGGGACCCAGTCGCCAAATCCTGGGTGTGGAGATTCATCATCCACGACCCTTTTAGTTCGGGCGCCACTGTAGAGAGATTAGGAATTTAGAAAGCAGGCAAGATGAAAAATGAACAACGCTTTCGCCGGGAATCGAACCACGGACCTCTGAAATACCGGCTCAGTGTGCCGACCACTACACCACGAAGGCACGCTAGTAAGGCGGGAGAAATACCTTATAGGCTTTCAGTTAACAATATCATCAAAGGTACAATTTTAAATGGAAATTTAAAGGAGAAGATATACTGTTGCCACGTATCCCAATGATTTCGACAGGTATGCCGTTCAAATTTAAATGTTGGCAGTTTCCGAGGCGACTTGAATTTGTAATGACCAACAGCAAAGCACACGGAGAATAGCTAGAAATGTGGGGATTAAATTTGAAAATCCATGCTTTCATTAGGACAGTTGTATGCGGCCTGTTCACGCGTCGGAAAATTTTTTGATTTATTCATGTACGAATCAGATGGAAAAACAAAAGTATTGTGTATTTACACAATATAATTAAATACAATTAAAACACAAACTCTTTCTTTCTTTTAAGTAGCACTAAAACGCGTACCGTGTAATGGCTACTATAGAGCATGTCCTAAATTGCGCTTTCGAGACATAAAAAACTCAAGTTGAATTTTTTTTAGCCTAAATCTCAAAACGGATTTTTTCGCCAAATCACTGTAAACGGCTGTATCACTTTTCAAATTGCTGCCACCAAATATTATCGCCCTGTATTATCTTTAAAGAAATTAAATAATGAAAAATCTGCATGAATGTATGTATGTTTCTCTCATTGTGAGCAAATTAGGATACCTAGAGCTATCAAATTTTGAATAGCGTAACTCTCCAACCGAATATGGCCACCTGGAAGTTCAATTCTTAAATTTCGAATTTCTCTCTCTAATCGAATTCTTATATTACTATCTGTTTTATTTTTTTTAATTTAACGAATTCTTGGATTTTCGGAGTTTGGGATTAAGAAACTTGACGATTTTAAAGCGAGCAGTGACAACAGACTGTATCTAATAAAATACTTTTATCTGCAGCGCGCTAGACTGTCTATCAGAAATTCTAAATATATGCTGTTTTTAGGTATTTTTAACCCAATGTGGCGTTAACCTAAATGCTCTGAAAAAAGCGCCCTTTTGGGCGTAATAGAAAATCTAATCAAATTAGAGGTGGTGGGTTTTTTTTTTTTTTTTTTTTTTTTTTTTTTTTTTTTGACTGGGTACATTTTAGGTTTAGGTTAGCTTGTTCACTTAAGGCCACAGATTAAATTTACGTCATCTGGAAGCTCAGTTGAGCCAAAAATAAATTGATAAAAATTAGCAAATATATAAAATATTAACATAATTTTTCATAATCTATTTTGACAATGCAAAAGATAGAATGAATATTGCACAATTGGTATTGAAATAGTTGAGATTTTACTATATTCCTTTCTGCTGGCATTAAATACTGCATGATCAAATTTGTTCATGGCTCGTTTCAGTTGGCCTTGTCTACTCAGCCGAAAAGTTTCAAGTACCCATATGCAGTTCCAGGAAGAATACAGGTAAGAATTTAAAGGTTATCAAACTTAATATTCTACTTTGACATTACGCGCTGTATAAATCATGTAGAACATAGCATTTCCTAATGAGGTTGGTTATTGAAAAATTTAATTACATTGTGGCGTTCCAACCTTTTCTCTTACGGCTAAGTGTGTAGGAACCTTGTGAACTAACTGGTAAGCGAATAATCGCTGAGGCGTAAACTCAAGAAGGGTTAATTACCCTTTATTTCTCAAAATAAGAATTTAGCAGTCGGCTCCTTTCTTAGAGAGTATAGAAAAGCCTCCACTTGGGCTTGAACTCAAGAGTACTTAACTAATGCTTAACTAAAAAGATATAGCCGATGCCTGAAAATCAAGGGCCTGAAAACGGCAGAGTGTACAAATAGCTTAGAAAGAGTGTAGCCATAAGGCAAACACGCGCTAGTCATAATCTCTGGTTGTCTTAACCAAGCCGGCGAAAGTTCGACTTAAATACCGCTCTTCCTCATTTGCATTAACCGCGGTTCTAAAAACACATTCTAGTGGGAAATTGTAAGCTGAAATTAGGAAAGCTAGGAAAGTAGTTTTAACTAAACTGTTAAAAACTTAGGATAAACCTTACAACATCACTGAATTACAGTGGCACGTATAGGGGTGTGCAAGGTATGCCGCAGCATAAGAGCTCGAAGCACTTGATACGATAAGAGACCCTTAAAAATACAGAAAACAAGTTTTGCCCCTGTATTATGTCCTTTTTTTCTATGTACCGTCTTATCATAACATCAAAACTTCAAATGAAAGCAAATTCGAATACGAAACTAGAAAAGCTGCTGATATTGGTTTTGATTCCCTGCCAGATGAGAACTTTCAAATCAATATTGGATAATATGTATCATCAGAGGTAATTTATGACAATCAGAGATAATTTATGACTGGTGCCCAAGTTTACAGTTAGAAAAGTTCTAAATTTCTCGAGACCAAAGTGTGACAAACGTGAAGAAAATGAAGGTACGGAAAGTCGGGAGTAGAAGTAGTAATTAAGACACAATAACACGCCGAATAAATACTAATTCAGAAGTCAAAACAACAAAAATCAGCGTTATATTTTTAAAATTTTCACAGGACTAGTTTCGATGGTTTTACCTAACCACCATCCTCAGCTTCAAAACCGCAAATGAATGAATCTAATCATTATTTCAAAACTAGTCCTGTGAAAATTTTGTAAATATAACGCTGATTTTGTTGTTTGACTTCTGAATTAGTAGAAGTAGTTCATTATAGCTAAAACATTTTTAAGGAAGACTCCAGGAAGAACTCCTGGAAGTTCTTTCCTAGAACTTCCAAACTCCTAGTGAATTTGTATTTTTAACACTTGTCAAATTTTCTCATAAATAAAAAGAAAGTATTAGCTTAGGGGATTTGATTATTAATACTCATAACAATATCTCATTCGTTATGATTAATAAAGCAATTAACAATCGCTGTAAATGTATTTTTAACCTCTCGCATGACACAGGATAAGGATCGGTTATAGTGAATGATCGGCAAAGCGAAAGTTGATTTAAAGCTCTATGGGCTTCTCACAGGAACCATGGTAATGGAATGGCCGTTTTAACAAGCGTCGACTGTACTAATATATACAGCATGTACTAACTGTGTAGAGACATTAGGTATTTTTGGAAGCAGGCAAGATGAAAAATGAGCAACGCCTTCGCCGGGAATCGAAGCATGGACTTCTGGAATACGCACCCAACGTGCAGACCACTACACCACGAAGGCACGTTAAGAAGGTAGGAAAAATACCTTATATACTCCCCCTTTTAAAGGGTGACTGGGGTTTTTAGGGGACCCAGTCGACAAATCCTGGGTGTGGAGAATCATCATCCAACATCCTTTCAGCTCAGGCGCCACTGTAGAGACATTAGGATTTTTTTGGAAGCCGGAAAGATGAAAAATGAACAACGCCTTCGCCGGTAATCGAACCACGGACCTCTGGAAATACCGGCCCAGTGTGCAGAACCACTACACCACGAAGGCCCGCCAAGAAGGTGCTTATTTGACTAATGACACTCTGGATAATTTATTTCAGAACTGTTTTCTTAGCTAAAAATTAAGTAAATTTTCTTTTGCTTAAGATTTATTTTTTGGTGCAAAGAACGGGTCTTTGGCTCTGAATGTAATAGGTTAAAAAATCGCCCAGCGTGCAGACCACTACACCACGAAGGCACGCCAAGAAGGTGGGAGAAATACCTTATAACTGTACTAGTATGCTTGGCTTAGAATGGAGATACACGCACGGGAGAAAGACAGAATATATATCAGAGGGAAATTAAAGGCGACTGATAGACGAAAATCAACTATTTGTCATAAACACTGTATGTTACCGTGAAAAATGAACAGTTCCACCAAAATGTTCTTAAAAATATTGAATGATTCGTGTTCACGCAAGATTTTTGATAGTTTAATAGAAGCATTTTTATATATGAATAATTATATAATATGTGAAATGATGTACGAGCATCATCATACCCAAATAAGAATATCACCCAGAAGCTTCTGAGATAAGATGAAGCCTTTTTTTTTTTTTTAACTTTTAATAAATAACATAATAAACATAACATAAAAAATATAAATAATAATAATAACAATATTGATATAGTAGTAAATAATAATAATAATCTTGATTGACGCAGATTTCATATAAAAACTCGATATATAATTTTAAATAAAATATCCACTAATCTGGTGTTCCCTTCCTCTTTAATTCTACATTTTACATGGCGTATTTCTTTTCTGTGTAAATTAATTTATTAGGTGTCTTAAGAAAGCCGAATAAAAAAAACTCATAAAAGAGACCCCATAAAATTACAGCTTGATCTAAGCTAATCAATTAATGTCTTAAGCCAGGATAGAGGCCTAAATTTTCAACTTTCTTAAAGTTAACCTAAAAAATACAGAAAGAAAAAAAAAAGTGGAGTGTGACATTACACAATTTTTCCATTAGACAAAATAATATTATACGCCTTTCGCCTTGACACGCATGCTTATATTTCTAAATAATTAATCCAGAATTAATTCTGAATAAAAATCATCATTATTCGAAAACTTGGGTCTTTAAGCCCCTTTTTATTGGAATGTTGAAAATCATGGGGAAGGTGCCCAGAACTGTTTTTGCATAATTACCCAAAAGCTCTAGTCACGCCACTGTTAAATGATCGTTAAATTCCTATAAATTTTACTTGCGTGTTCAGTAAAGAAAACATTATTGTCAGTTGATTAAATTATCTTAGATTTCCAGAAGGATCTGCCTTGCTTTCTAGAAATGGTATGTTGAGTTGTCTTTACAGAATGAAACAGTTTATTACTTACAACACCACAAAATAGTCGGTCATGACGCTCCGGAAATCGATTGCAACACATTTGTTAAAGAAAAACACAATATATAGCATCTTTACACTGTCATTCCTTCCCATGCTAAGATCCTAGTTATGTCGTAATTTTTTTTTTTTTTTTTTTTTCCTTCATGCTCATTATCGACTCGTAGCATCACTATTATTCATACTGGATCAGGTGAGATCATAAAGACAGATCGTAATGACTTTCTTGGATTACGAATACTTATTACGTTTTGTGTGATTTCTATGAGTATAAAGCCACTGAAACTATTTTCTTTCTAGTAACCAGAACCAAAGGCACCGCATGAAGCTAATCTCTGAATAAGACCCTGATAGACATATTGTGACATATCATGGTAGTTTGTCAGGATAACCACGGTAATCCTTTTACTGTAATAGTCATAGCCAAATGAATAATTAGACAAACACGAATGTCTAAAAGTATTGAAATACTCATGCAAAAAAATGTATTTTCCTAAAGTTTACTTACATGAAGACATATAAACTTTAAAAAAAAAAGAAAAATGCTTTATTGGCTGTCACGGCAATTACTTTTTTTTTTTTTTTTCATTTTTACTTTCATCTTCATTTTGCATCGTTTACAAGAAGAAGAACAAGCTAAAAGATTCATTATATCAATTAATAGTAACTGCACTTTCTTGAATATCTCCATACGTGGCTTCCACATCTGGCAACTCTACTGGACAGATAATTTTGTTTTGTCAGTGTCAATGAATGGGAGACGCGCTTTCTGCCCTTCAGCAAGTTTTTAATTAGCTTATGGCCTGTATCTGTCAGCACTGTTGATTGAACATTTAGACTCTTAGTTGACGACTAAATATTTAGCTGCTCAGCACTCTTCATCTGTTATGCGTATGTTATTCTTTAATACAATTTAACATTCTTAGAATCAAGCTTTATGACTAAAATATAGAAAAACGAATAGTTTAAATAGCTACGTAATATCATTACTTAGATATTTAAACTATAGCTTAGATATTTAACTGTTACGTTATGCCTAAATACTGTTATGAATATCGGAAACATATTTCAGAGAGAAGAGTTGCAAGTAGTTGCAGAAGCTTTAAGCAGTCTCAGACGTTGTTTCCCAGCAAATGATCCACGCCAACATACAATAGACACTGTTGATCAGTCACTCGCAGCATTGCTAGAACGAATAAATGCTTTGGAAATGGCTTCACCAGCATCACTGGCAAGTATTGTTGTAACTTATGCAAACATCTGTGTTTATGTTTTCATATTTTATTACATAGCCGTCTATATGGTACCTGCTGCTCATTTGTTTTATTTATTTGTTATTCTTTATTTACATATTCAGTACAGTTTTATTGGAATGTTACGTTTATTTCTTGTATAATTTTGTCCATCTTTAATAATTTGTGATCACTTACTGCATTTATATATATTTCAGGTGCTTTATTATTCATAATTACTTGTTATTCTTAGTAAATGGATGTTGGAATTACGAAAATAGTTTAAAAATAACAGGAAATATATGTTATTAAAATTTACTAGCCTTGATGACAAGTTTTTATTGCCATCTTGGCAACATTTTGGAAGTTTTCAAGGAACATATTTTCCATACTCTAGGATCGATCTTTGCAGAATGTTCTTTTAGTGTTGAACCCATTTATGGTATAAATAGGAAACTGTGGAACACCTTGAGACAATTAATGGTTAATCTGATTGAAATAATGTACTTGTTCGAATTTATTACTCCCTCGGTGAGTCTAGCTTTTGCTATATAAAATGATTTAGCAATTCTACTGTCATGTTTAAAACTTTAAAGTTTCCATTTTCAACGCCAATAATACTGCATCTTTAGTACCGTAATTTGCGATATTCTTCTGAATTTAAATAGTAACAATAAAACATTTACGTTTTTTAAATATTTAACTAAGCTAATAATTTCACCCGTCTCTTCAAAAGTTTCAATATAACATTTACAGCAAGAAACAAGAAATCATTAACTGAACAGAAAGAAAGGAGAAATTGTTAATGTTACATGTTATAACAAACAACAAATTATTTAATTATTAAAGCTTTGTTAAAATTGTAAATTACTGTAACTAACAGATAGTAATACACTGCTGCCGAAATGATCAATTCGATGAAACAGATTAGTTAATTGTGGCAAAACATGCGGAGACTGTTTGTCCACGAAGAAATTAATTATGCGGAGACTATTTGTCCTCAAAAGTAGTTCATAGTTAACACTATATTTGTAGAAAATGCTCAAAAAACCCCAGTAACCAGTGAAATTAGCCACTAAAAACCAAACTGGTGAACGGGCTACCAATGTTTTGTAACTTTAACCACTCAAACACTGGTAGGCAAAATCAGGTGAAAATATAATAATCCAATCCTTCATGAAAAGAAGGAAAAAAATACTGCTTCTATTTCCCATTTTCTTAAATCGATTTTGAACCGAAAATATTTCACTAAAATGCTTTTAAGTATGATAACTTACACTGAACAAAAATTTAAATAAAAAAAAAGAAAAGAAAAGAAAAGAAAAGAAACAATGCTATTTTTATAAGTCGCAAATTAAGATGATACCGTTAATAGCAACTATCATGATTATGAACTTTCAGTAAAAAGCTAGAGGATAGGCGAATTTTCAAGTCCTGATGATATGAATCTAGAGGTAATATGCTAGGAGATAAATAAAGAGAAGAATAGGTGAATTGTGTTTCAAGTAAAACATGAAGGAATAAAGTTATAAATGAAAAATTTTCTTTCATAAAGTTGTCATATAGAGATCATTTCCCGCAAGGAAGAATATTGAACAACTGGAAACGGGATAGTGGCTGACATCAAGCATACTAAAATAATTCTTGGCATGGCATCCTTAGTCTGAATATTATCTCAGACCAATGGAATGAATTCCATCCGCATGATAAAAGTTGCCCTCGCTCTACTTGGAAGGATGAAAGAAACTCCTGAGTTTCACAGCAAAAGATAATATACATATCATCACTGATCAGCTTGTAAATCTTCTCAAGTACAACGAAAGATCACATATATCCCAGAAGACTGTCTGTTCCGTGATGCCCGACTACATTCTCAAAGACTTATAGCTTGTTCTTACCATATATATACAGCTAGCGCCCAAACTGGTATAGTGGTTAGCATCGCTGACTGCCTTCGAATTCCGGAGGAGGCATGGGTGTTTGTAAATGTATAGTGTAAGGCGGCACTCCAAATACGCGGCGAGCCGAAAGGTCCTTTCCTGTGGTTTGGTGGAAGGGGAGAGGGGGTGAGAGACCTTCGGACACGTCCCTTTGGTGTGCTGTCCATCAAAATTGGGGGAGGAATTGAACAAAATCGCACTGTCACCCGTAAGGTACTCCAGGTTGGTTGCCAACGACAGGCGTATCTTGCGCTCCTTACCATGAGGAATTTCGTGGGCTCGGGCTGATGTTACTGTCAGAAAAGTGAGCATAAGTAACAACAACATATCTGCAAAAAGCAGACGTACAGAACGTAAACATGTATGTGAATATACATGCATTTCACAGAAGACTACCAATTCTGTTTGGTGCAAGATTCTATCCGTTGGATGATCTATGAAAGTGTGGTTCTGCTCGCCATTAAGAGAATAGATAGAAAAGAGATAGATATTTGCAGCAAGGGTATAATTTGCTGAGTGAATTATTTGATAACGGAAAAGCCTTTATACACCTGCCTGTCTAAAAAAGGAGATAACTTCGGCGACTTCCTCAGGAAAAGTTGTTCATATTTATGTTACACTAGAAAAAATCCGCAAAATATCATGCAGTCAATCCGATCAGCAATCAATCCATTTCAATCCAGCTAGAACCCGGCACTTATTTTATGAAACTGAGCTACGATTTCAGAAAAATATATTTTTTAGTAATAACGTAAGTGTTAATAAAAGTCGATTTTAACTTAAGAATGCATCTCTCTCTAGGAAATAAGCCTAGGCAAGACGTACGCTGAAATTTTGAGGAAAGAAAAGCTCTCCAGCGCAGTCAAAAATTTTGTTCTTCATACTTTATTCTAAAAAGTGCAATAAATTTATTACAGCTTGTTTAAGAACGAATAATGTTTTCATTTGCTTATACATGCAAATTTGGAGCTATGTTATCCTAAAGTGGTAGAAGTGATCATTATAGCCAAATTGTTCATCCGTAATTACAGTTACTCGCGATTTACAGAACGGGGAAGGGGAAACGTTGTTTATTATCTTAAATATGCTAGAAATTACAGTGAGCTTGATACAGTGAAATACAAAGATAAACAGCTAAACACGTCCAGTGTTAGTGACTTCCCATAAAAAACAGCACCTGCGAACTTTTCTGAACCGTGTAACAAAAAGAAAAAAAAAAAGTAGTCACTTGTACAAAACCTTATTTTTGTTTATGTCGGAAGAGATCGTGGTCAGAAAGTGTTGAATACTTCTCTTTTGCTTTTATACTTGTCCGTTAAAATTGCCTTCCATAATCTCATACTATTTCTAGCAATTTCTGTATTCTCATTAGTTGAATCGTTTTAACTCTTTCTTTTTTAATGGTGGGATGAAAAAGAAATAACCTTTATTTCTGTCATCCCTTGAAATAACGCATTATATTGCATATTCAGAGCTCAAACTCAGCCAGAGATTCAAATAAGATGTAGTCCGGTATTTTACTTTATTATTTAACTATTTACCATTAATTTAATAATTTTTTTTATTTATGTTTTTAATTTTTATTTATTTAACTTGTTTTTGTTCATCATTCCTGACTGTTTTTCATGGGTCTCTGACACTTCTAACTTCAGAAATTAAACCCTGATGAAGATTATCTTTCTAGTAAACGAAATTTCTCATACACATGGTGATTTTCATTTTACGCATTAAATTTAGAAATAATCTTTATCGCAGATTCATTAAGTTTGCCTACTGTAGATACATTAAGCATAAAACAAAAATTTACAATGCCCTCACTAGATTTGAACTCCAGGACTCCCGACTGCTACCCAGTCATACTTCCAATTACAAGTGAAACCCACAGTAATGAGAAGAGAAAATACCTTACATTTACCCCTACTTAAAAGGCGACTGGAAAGGTGAGGATTCAGTTGCCAAATCCTGGTGGTAAAAAATTACCATCCACTACATTTTAATTTTGGTACCATCGTACAGTGGTTAGATTTGTCGAAGCAGGAAGCATGAAAAATGTGCAGTGGACTCGAACATCGGACCTCCTGATCACTAGATCACTAGCCAGAAGTGCTTCCAATTACTTTGTGAAAATTTGTGGTAAGGAGGGCAGAAAACATCTTACAGTATTATATTCTATGTGTCATATAAAACAAATAATTTTTGTACTACATCAGAAGTAATCTTTTATGCTTTATTTTATACATATTATATTTCTAGGTGTCAAATACGACAGTCAGAAGACCACAGAATGAAAGAGAACCATCTCACTTTTTCTCACCAGCACAACCAGGTAGTTCCTTACTATTGATTTAAGTAGTAAATATGTGTTAACTTTGTCTGATCAACTTCAAATAAATGATGTCGATGTCAACCTTGAAAAACAAAAAAACCGGAAAGTTTTCTTGCCACTCAGCGAAGCAACTACAACTACTCTCCTAGTATATGGTACTATATAACACACAGTAGGACATATATATATATATTTATATTTATATATATACATATGTTACGGTGAAAAACCGAAATCTGGAGAATGTCGACTTTCACCGGTGAATGTCAACATTCACATAGTCGCTTGGTGTTATGTCCGAAATGTTTTCCAAATACTCTCATTTTTGACTTGACCGGTGAATGTCGACATTCACCATGTACTAATGGTGAATGTTGAACATATAAGAATATTATATTTCCTTCTCCGTAATTCATTCGCGAAAAAACGCACTTGAGACTCAGAATAAGAACTTAAAACACACAGTACATTCAAAATGAGAAAGGAAAATAATAGAAGTTATAAACTTACCAAATTATGTGATTCAAATCTTATTTATTGCAACAACTTAAACTATTATGACACTTTGAATTGCACAAGAGGCCCTTGCTTTTACAACTGCATTTATTTGTGGAACACTTCCTTTTGTAATGGCAGCGTGTACATATAATCCTCTCTTTTCGACCTACAGCAGAGCAATATCTGTGATTGTCGACATACACCGGTGAGGGTCCGAATGTACAAGAATGTAAAGAAATATTCGATCTTTCACCGACGTATTTGGTGAATGTTGACATTCTCCGGTGAAAGTCAACATTCTCCAATTTCGGTCTTTCACGGTAACATATGTACGGATATACCTTGACAAACCATAATTCGCGTTATTAAATTAATTATGTCACGATTTTAATATACAACAAATTTGAATTAAAATCACTTTATTAATGCATAATTCGCGTTATTAAATTAATTATGTCACGATTTTAATATACAACATCTTAATTCAATACTCAGTTCAGTATTCTAAATTTTATCTATTTATTTATTTATTCTTGGATAAATTTATGCGATTCTGTATTTTTTTAAAATTTTATATTGTTGAAAACCTGAGCACAAATAAAAGTAAAATTTGTGCTCAAAATATTATTTTAAACACAATGAAACTAAAATTTACTTTTAATATATATGTAATAACATAGATAAATTGATAATATAATCTAATTTATAGATTCAAAGCAAAATAAGATACAAATATTTATCTATTAAAGGTTAAAAGAAAAATTAAATACTAATATTTACTTATTAAACCTAAGTTGAGTCTTTATAAAATGCTCTAATGGATTAAAATAGTTCAGATAAAATAAAAATAAATCAAGAAAATTGTGCACTTGGAATAAAAGCTGAAATTGCATAATTAGAGTTTCACTTAGAAATTATAAAATCATTGCTTTATTTTATTTGCCTTTCTTTTTAGCCCAGAAGTGTTATTAGTCTCGAAATGGCATTTTACACTGAATCACTTAAATGCGATATATCACTTTTCGAATTGTTGCTACCAAATATTAACGGTCTGTATTATATTTAAAGAAACCAAGCAATGAAGAATCTGCATTAAATGTATATATGTTTCCTGAATTTCGAAAAAGCAACGGTACCTAGCGCCATCAAATTTTGAATAACGTAGTCCTTCCCCCAAATATGGGCACCTGGAAGAACGAATTTCGAATTTGCTTCATTTTCTATTTCATATTTTGTAAAAATTTAATGAATTTTTGATTTAAAAAGTCAACCATTTCAAAGCAAGCAGTTGCAAGATTTCATAAAAAAAAAAAACACACATTTTTATCTCCAGTGCGCAAGACTGCCTATCGTAAATTCTTAAGATATACTGTTTTTAAATATTTTTACTCCCAGTGTGGCATTAGCCCAAATGCTCTCGAAACGTGTATGTCTGTCAATGAAAAAAATGCCCTTTTGGGCGTAATTATTATTATCATTATTATTATTTTTGAAGAAGAAGAATTTTTTGTCTAAAATATTTACAGTATCTCCTTTTCCTGTGAAACATTACTGATCAAAATCTAGGAATTCTTTTAGTTATATCTAAAACAGGTTATCTGAATTAAGATGAATTAAAAACCAAAAAACTGAAAATTTACCGGAATGCCAGGTATGATGAAAAATTGGAAGTCTCCCTGTTTTACCGTAGGGCTTGACAGTTCTGAAATATTAAGGCAGTGCACCTCAAGTTTTAATTTAATAATATTGTTTGGTTACAGGAGGGCCAGAGGTTCAAAGCGCTGAAGACAAAAACTGTACCAAAGTGGTTTATTACATGGACAAGTCCTTAACACCTTTCCGATCCATTCTACACAAAAGGTATTTTCAAATTGAAGTCAGATGTGCATTCCAGCAAGTATACTTTTTATGTTTACTAATTGTGAATATCATTCAAAGGATTGGAGAAGCAACCCTGAGGGACTTCAAACTGTTGTTCGATAGACCAGGACAATTTAGGTATCATTTCAAGACACTAGATCCAGAATTTGGAATGGTTAAAGAAGAGGTAATTTCACTGTTATTACTGAAACAAACTTCTTCACTTGTAACAAATATTTTCGTAATTTTTGCACGTCTAATTCTTCATTACTAAATTCTACGATTCAAAATAAATAAATACAGTATTTGTCCAACACTAATGATATTTCTAGTTCAAAAATACCTTTCTGAAAATCATTCCGGTTTTATATGTCTCAGTATTAGATTTATTGGGCTCTAAAACATTGTACTTAAAAAGATCTGATGTAGACACCACATCACTTCCCTGTCCGGTTTATTAAATCACATACATCTTTTCCTGCACTTAGTTTCAACTTATTTTCTCAAGTTATTATCCTCGAGTCTAAAGAATCATATCTGAAATAAAGTTAAATCTTATATTGATTTAATTTTATTTCAAATATGATTTTTAACTACTGAAATTGTTCTAGTAGTATCAAGTTCTTCAAGCTAAGACCATCTAATAAGGAAATTTAATTTTTTCCCCCTTTATAAAACCTCTTCAAAAATATAGGATTGCGTATAAATGAATCTGTGTTATATTCAGGTTAATAAGATTATAAACATTTAATTAATTTTGTTCTCCTGATCTCTCAACTTTCACAAAAAGAAAATCAACTTTTGCTCTGATTAAAAAAGAAAAGAGGGGAAATACTAATATGGAGTTGAAAAACTAAAAAATCTGAATACATGATTTTACATAACTGAAATAAAGAAATTATAGCACACTGTTAAAATCTATCCTGTGAAGATAGTCTATTTGAAATACTTGTTAAACAGGATAGTCTATTTGACATACTTGTTAAACAGGATAGTCTATTTGAAATATTTGTTAAACAGAGATATTCACATTAGACCTATTATTTATAAATTCTTTAATATTCTTCTTGCATTTCAGGTTCTGCATGATGAAGATATCCTTCCTGGCTGGGATTCAAAAATAGTAGCATGGATTGAGGAAGACTGCAGCTGATACACCATCAACTACGGTATGATAATAAAAGCACATAAAACTTTAGAAGAAAATTAGGAAAGCTTCATATGTAGAATCATTTATCTTTCTATTTTATTAGAAAAAAATGTTTAAAAATATCAATACGATGTATTAACGAAATTCGATAAATATATATATATATATATACCGGTGATCATTACAACCATTTGATACCTTACCATTCTTTTCATAAAGCATATTTAATGAAAAACATTCTCTACTGCTTTATTGGATAGGGGGAATCCATTAACTATGCATTTATACTCATTACTTCAACTGGCAGAATAGACAACATATCTTAACTTCCCCTCAACTAACATGACAGAAGTATGTTTCTTGGGAAGAAAGATCTAACAATAAAAACGATTTTTTATGTGCCAAAACAAAATGCCAATGTAACTAAATGTTAATGATTTTCAGAAAGAGTTAACATATTCACTCTCATTTCATTTTAGATAAAAGCATGGCTATGTTTAATTGAAGATTATTTTACATAAAGTTTTGCCATAAAAAAGTGCTTTCAGTTTTTAGTAGGTTAAAAAGTTTGGTACAAACGGGGTCTCACATAATGAACACAGTCTATTTCAGGACACTGTTTCCCATACATTGCTATGCGAATAATTTTAATCTGTCTCTGGTCCAAAATTGCAAAACACTGCCAAAAAAAATTATGTTGGAAATGTAGGAATTGACTAATTTATTATTTAAAATAGCATGCATAATGTATTCATGCAGTCTCACACTTTTCAGGTCAGTTTAATACGAGTCTTCTATTTAAAGTCGGGAAACTCAGCCTTGTTTTCTTACAGATCTGTCTAGTCTTTTGGGAGATCCAAAGTTGTCTGAAGAGATGCTTCTCCCTCTCCTTTAGAATAATCCTGATGTACTGCACGGCTTTGATAAATCTAATCTCTCTTCTCGTACTTACTGCCAATGCTTACTTCTACAGAAGGTCCCTGGTGGTTACAGTAGGCATGAATAATCTGTGTTCTTCTCATCACCAAAGGAAAATGTTTTTAAGGGTTTGTAACTCTTCAATCAAAATATGTTCATTTTCCTGCTTTCTAATCTTTATGTGGTTTTTCTTCCACCATCCAGATGCATTTTCTGTATTTACTTACTATCTACACAAGAAGTCGGTAGACACCGCTTAATGTAATCACGATTAATGTTATCATTTAGATATTGTTATCAAATTGCTTAAGTCCTGCCCATTTGTATATGAAAACATGGAAAATACTTCACTAACTGTGACCAACAACTTTATTAATATAATCAAAATATTATAAGTAAAGTTGCCAAATATAGTCAAAATCAAATTGTAAATTTGCCAATTCACATGGAAATGTCAATGACAACACATTTCGTCTGAAATTAGCTTCATTTTGATTTCAATTACATTTTAAAATTAGGTAGAAAAGCATAGTTTGACGAAAAATTCTGAACAATTCTATCGATTCTGACGGTGATCATACAGAAGCAGAAAATAAAAATCTGCAGATTTTTTTTGGGGGGAGGGAAATTCTCTGAAACATCTATGCCAAATTAAGACTATTTTTTTACCTAATTTTTAAATTTTACATTCGCATGTTTTTTTTTCAATCAGTAATGTCCTCTGAATATTAAAATAGGGGTTAAGCATCAGTCAAATAATTTCCATGTTATGTACAGTTCATAAATAAATTTTTGTATTTTTCTAGTTAAAATACTGTGAAAGCGCCCATTTATATTAAATTAGTTGCATTCCATACCTATTTCAAAAGACATTTTCTCTCGTCATTTAATATTACCAAATAGCTTAGCAGATACATGATCATATTAAGCGGCACCTTCAGTAAAAGAAATTTAGCTCTGCATTGAACATACCAATACTTAATGATATTCATGTTCTATAATACAGGACATTTATTTTTACCATACATGCATTTGTTATACGAGACAATCATTGTGATAGACATCATTGTGTATCTATATTGTAAGCATTTTACAAACTTTTATTTTCATAACAATTATTTACATTCAGCAAGTTTACATTGTCTTTGTAAATGTTCTGTCTGTACCAATTATTACCAATATTTTTCCTTACACAAAGTGCCATTTACTTTACTTATTTCATTAAACTAAATATTTTTATTGGGAATTAAAATATAAATGAACATATATTACATAAAAAAGACATAAAATTATTTCAATAATTGTTTCCATAATGTTAATAAATAAAAGAAAAAATAATTTATATCTATAAAATCTTCAAAAAATAATTTTATTCTGTCCAAAATTAATCAGATTAATTACAATTCAGGTACAACATAATGAAACAAAGTTAAATTGCGCTCTGAACATATATGCTAGTTTACTCATCACTGAATAATTTCAAATGTACATTATAATACATACATACATAATTTTACAAATTATAAACATCTGTTTTTATATTATAAATCAAAATTTCAAAATAACTTACATCTTTAAATGCATTTCCTATTTTGAACTAAGTTGTTTAACTACAAAAACACATGCATTATGGAATTTTCTAATTATAAATTTTTTAGTTTACATTTTTTCTGCTTAAAAAATAGCATAATTAACACAAATAACATACAATTGAAAAAAACTGCATTAATGTGTTGAACAAATCCCTATTGAATAATGCATTTCTTATTTTGAACTAAGTTGTTAACTCTACATAAATACAAGTATTATGGAATTTCCTAATTAAAAAATTTTTAGTTTACATTTTTTCTGCTTACAAAGTAGCATACACTAACAAATAACATACAATTAAAAAAACTGCATTCGTGCATTGAACAAATCCCCAATGAATATTTTAACATACAGAAAATGACTGTGAATTCAAAATAGCCACAGTTTATTTAAACTTGAGTAGGAAGACTTTTTCCAACTTAAATTTAAATCACCAAAAAGGCTTTTTAAGTATGTAACTGCAGCTTCTGTTATTAAATTACACATTTACAAAATGAGATGAAATAAAAAATGCTCGAAGTAATACTGAATCAAATATAGATGAAGAGAACAAAATTTGCAGCTAGGAACAAGAAAATTAACAAAACTCACATTGAGCATTCATACAACTTTTACTTTCAATGTATTTCATGCATAGTTATTATTCTTTACAAGATTCTTAAGGCTCTTTCTCCAGATGTGTGATCTCCAAATTATACCGACTGTATACACATCACTGTGTTGGTATGCATGTGTGTGTACAGACCTGAATACATAGATCTGAATGTGATACAGTATACCTGTATACTGTATATATGATGCTGTGTCCTTCACATACTATATATGTGATACATCATACTTATTATAATATATATTTATCAATAACAAGGGCTTAGAGAAAAACTCATATTAAGAGAAAATCGATGCAATCATATAATTTTGATTTTAGATCCAATGGAAATAAAAACTGCCCAAAAATCTAAGAAGATAAGAAAAACAAAGGTTTCTAACATCAGCAATGTGAGTACTTTTATACTCAAAGCCAAACTAAAAGTGTGCTTGTAGATTATAGCACAGAATACTAGGGCTATCAGCCTAAGGATAGGGATGCCTTCATGGAGGACTTTCTAAGGCAAACTGGTTCATATACACGTTCATTATATGTTACACATGGGAAAAACTACCAGAAATACCCATGCAACCAACCCATTCGACTTAAATCCAAGCCAGGTTGGAATTACCAATGTTCAGCAACCAATGACTGCTCAGCTGCTGGTGGGCAAAGTCCAACTAAAAAAATTTGCATTTGCTATTTCATCAGCACAATAATAGTGCAAACATGTTTACATTCAGGACAAATACATGAAGTATATCAGAAAAAAAAAAAAATTATAAGGGTATGACTATATGACAACATTTAAAATAAATTGAAAAAGAATTCAAAAAGAAAATATGTTAACATTTCAATGTTAATGGATATTTCTTTATTTATTTTAGTATATTTCTATAACTTAAAGGTGTATGGAGTATGGAAATACTTATTTGTAGATTACAACTCTATGTTACATCAGAGCATTTTCAAAATGAAAGGCAACAACATCGACGGGAGCGACAGAATATGGCTTAGAAAAACAAATTATATTTTCATTAAGTAAAATTAGATATAATGTGTTGACATTATTGCACATGCAAAGAAATTAAGAAAAATTATTATGCTGTGGAAATAAAAATACTAGATGGGGGAAACAAACTGACTACTCATGTAAAAAATGCTGGAAGGTTTATGAAAAAAGGATTTGTCATAAAATTTAATTTTTATGCTATTTAAAAAAAATTTAAACATAAGTTATGAAATAAGATACAGTTTTACTGTGCAGTAATACCTATGCTCATTACATTATTACATTAGACAAACCAAATGTAGAGTTTGAAATTTACAATTTCTGTATAAATTTTCTTAAGTATTTTTAAAACTGATTTTACCTTTACTTTGTGTACTGCTATGCACAAAAATACAAAAATGAGTTAAATAAAAATGATTTTTTCAATACCTGAATTGATCACTTTATTGTGCACAAGGGTCTAAAATTATAACTGTTGTCCTCAAAAACTTACAGCTTAAGTCAAGAACCATTGCTCAAAATGTCTAGCTATATATTTTTTATGATCATATGAATTAGTTATGATTATCAATAACCACTAGCCTCCTCCCCTCGAAAAAGGGGAAGGAAGGAAAGTTGGGGGAAAGTATCAAAAAGAAAATGCAAATTTATTTTGAAGGAAATCAAAACATGCATAAAATGCCTCTATACTGACCCATCTTATACATCTTTAAAATTTTGCTTATTATAGCAACCAAGCACCATGCTTTTACCTGAATTTGTTTATAGGTTATTATATAATTAATGAATAAATAAATTACAAGTTATTTATAATATATTGTTTTCACTTGGATTAAAAAAAGAAATTTTGGTAAAATTAGACTGTTTGCAGGATATCCTTCGACAATACAAATGGCAGATGAGTGCTAAAAGAAGGACTGAAAATTTATCAATCAGGCATTACAAAAGTTGTATTAAAATATTTTAAGTAACTTTCCCTTTTGCAATAGTTTTTGCCTACAAAAAGCAGACCTGTTTTTCAAACAATGTACACTGTGAAAAAAAAAGGGGGGGACAGCTGTATATCTCTCGTTCTACTGGGCCGATTGACAAAATCCAAATTGCGTTTTTCATGTCTCCAAAGTTCGACTTAGGATATATATTAGATTTATATATAGCATTGTTCTAACATAGGTATTTTGACACAAAATCGGACTTTTCTGAAATAACATACCAATTTTTTTTTCCATATTTCGATTCTACGACTCAAATTATGCCTAGATATAAAATTTTGTAAAATTTCGTGCAAAACTTATGGAGAAATTAAAAAATTTACATTGGCACAATTTTTTTTCAGTTTTTTACATTATGTATGAGCGGAAAAAAAGTTGCATTATTTCTACTTCCAAATCTTTAGCACAGTGCCTAAACCACATTTGATGTTTTATGGCTTTCAACAAATATGCCAAATTTTAAAACACACCAATATATAAATTCACATATATCTTTGGGAATTTTGAATAAAAAACTAATTTTTTGCAGGTATGCTTAGAAATACGTCTACTTTAAGATGATGGTAAAAATTTTATTGCAGGTATGCTTAGAAATACGTCTACTTTAAGATGATGGTAAAAATTTTATAGATTATAATTCGAAAATTTATAAAAATTATTTAAAAATACAAATTTTAAAAATAAATCATAAAAAAGGGTGAATTTTATTTGGAATGAACTTCAATTTTGAAATGTGAAAGGAAGAATCAAATAAGTTTAATAAAAAAAAAAGAGAGATTAATAAATATACACCAAACTCAATTAACATTGAGGAGCTAAAATTTTGAGAGCTAATTATTTAAAAACTACTCGTGCGATTTTTGCAAAGCTTGGTAGTTTGGCGTAATTTGGGTCGTAGAATCGAAATATGGGGAAAAAAAATGGTATGTTATTTAGTCCAATTTTGTGTCAAAATACCTATATAAAAACAATGCTATACATAAATCTAAATCATATCCTAAGTTGTACTTTCGAGACATGAAAAACGCAAAGTTGAATTTCGTTAATCGGCCCTGTAGAATGGGAGATATAGAACTGTCTCCCTTTTTTTTTTTTTTGCGCAGTGTACATACATATTCAGTACATAAATTTCATCCCCCTTCTTAAATGTCAACATTTCACAGAAACCACTAATTTTGCATTATTACATGTTTGAAGAGCTAAAAAATTTCTAAGTTGTAAAATATGCAGTTACTAAAACAATCCAGTAAATTCATGAGTATAAATGAAATGATATCTGAAAAATCAATTTTTACACCAACTCAAATTTTAAATACCAAAATATTAGAAAATGCAACATTAGCAGGGCAATTACCAACATCGATCAGACTGCTTATTGATTTCAAATATATCATATCAATTATGGCATGAGATTAAAACAAACGCCATACATTTTTTTAATATTTAAATCAAATACTGATGAATTTATAAATACATAAATATTTTAAAACAGTATTATGTATGTAAATAATTTTTATAATAAATTCTGTAATATTATCTTATAATATATACTGTAATGTAGTCCGCTAATACAATATATATATATGATGTTGTATATGACTTTGTTGCATTATCCATTCTTATAATTTATGATATTTAATAGTCCTGCAATATATGTTGTAGCACAGTCCTACAATATATGCTGCATAGCCTTAATTTAGATATGATATAAAAATAATTCATAATGTATAACCTAATGATCAATCCAAAAGTATTATTCAGTAGTAGATAATTTTAAATAATTTGATGAAATTTTATATATCTAAATCAAGTCAACAAATTTGTTGTGTTCTATTTTTACAAATCAGAAGTTTAGCTCATAAGAATAGTAATTTCATCTATATCACTAATGAAACAAGGATAAAACAAAAATACATTAAGCACCATAGATTTTCTATTTCATGATTTCTGGAAATATAAATTATCATTCAAAATAACTACAAAAGCAAAATATTTTATACCAAATTAATTACTTTTAATATACCATACCATACGCAGTAATCTTATGCAGTAAACTTGTCAATCGAAATTTTTTCGTTTTCAATAACGTTCTCTGTTACTTTCTTCACTATCAGAAGCGCGCATGGGTAAACATTTTACGCGCATGCGTAAGTTTGTGGCTTTGAGGTCTGGATTATAGATCATTCCGGATAATGGATGTCCGGATTACAGACTTTGTACTGTACATACTTCTTTAACAATTTTTATTTATTTAGTTGGAGTTATTCAGATTGTATCTAATAAACATTTTCACCTTTACTGTATAATTCATAAAAGATGTTTCTGACACTGTGCACTTACAATAAGGATTTGACCATGTCTATCAACAAGTATGTGATATTTTTTAAACAGAGAAACATTTAAGTTATTAACATTAGCTTATAGTATGGTAATTTACAGAGTTCACTGCATCTATCAGAAAAAAATACTAGTGTATGAAATATCTAAAGTGACGCATAATAAAATACAGTTTCACAATTTTGTAAATGTAATTCAGAATTAAATGAAACAATATAGAAGCAACACAGTGAAACAATGATAACTCTTTAAATAACAAAACTGTAAGCTCAATCTATTACTATTAATCTTACGTGAGATTCCATGCAGATTTGGCACTGAAAGAGTAACAAGAATTACCACCAGAAAAGATTTCCAAGAGAAAAGGAAATGGAAAAATTTTGTACTCCTTGAAACTCAATATAAGGTTTTAATTTTATTTGACTTTATTGGATTGAACACAATGAAATCCAAGATTACTTCTTTCCTTAAAAAATGCACAGTATTTTTAAATTTTAAAGCATGCACTAATTACCAAACATCAACTAGTTGAATATCAGTACATTGCTACTATTATGAACTGTTTTGCCTCTTATTTTAAGCAATGATTTTATTTCAAGAAATTATTTATTCATAAATTTATACTATTTCAGACTAAATACAATGTGTTTGTGCAATACATAATTAATTATCATGTTTGTTTAAGATATAATGAATTATTTTCCAAACAGCACTTGAAAAAATTCTGATCAGCGCAAAATTCCAAAATACCTAGGTACACTTATTAGATTGAATTTCTGCATTAATGCAGAATAAATAAATAAAAAAATCCAGAGTGATATTCTCACCTTTCTTTGCATAAAATTTATACACATGTGCTGCATACATTTATAATGTCAGTGTGCATCAAAGATAAATAACACACCACACCAAAACTAACTGCAATCACTTCTAGATTTCGTGATCACTTATTTTCTGGGGCTCTTTTCCCATTTCAACAAGTTCAATTATTTCACTTCATTTTCAATAAATCACAGCTTTCAAATTTTTAACTTTTTATTTCAAGATGACTAAAAATATTTATTTCACTTAAAAGATGAATAATTTTATTTATTTAACATATAATACAAGCCATACAAGAAAATTATGGCTATCTTTTAGGTAAATTGTCTCCCATTCCATAAATATGGTACTTGATAAGGCTAGTAGCATCTCCTGCCTTTGGAATGAGAAGATGGTCACGAGAATCTATAACAATCTCACCATCTACAGAATGTCCTGTAAGAAATTCATATATTTGAAGATAAATTATCTTTGTAATGGTTTAAAAAATACTTTAAACATAATAAGTATCACAAACTAAAATATCTGAATGAATTTACAGACTTACTGCGATTTTCACACACTTTAGCATTGGTCTCAATATTTTCAAAATTGACTAACATGAATTAAAAAAATCTGCAATTGGAATAAATTGCTTAAAAAAATTTTTAAAAATTACGCATATGTTAAAAATATTTTAATAATTTTGTTTACAAATTTTATCTTTCATCACAGCCATTAATTTATTTAACTCATATTTTTAATTTAAATTAATCTAACATGAGCTAATATCTGCAGTTAACTCTATATTAGCTGTAAATATGAAATATATAATAGAAAATCGTTTGCGGGACTCTTATACAGTAACAAATAGTTTCTTAAATGGTTACTGGAATTTAATTTGCACTTTGACTTCAAAAGAATGTCCAGATTAACTGAAATTTATAAGTACATATCAAGTAAAATATAAAAAGACTCATAACTTGCTTAATGTTTTCCATAACAGCTTTTCTTCTTTTTATAAACTGATTTTCAATGTTTATTATGGTAAAAAATATACTGTTTAGTTCAATATATATTATGGTTAAAAATTTGCTGTTCAGTGATTTTTTTAAGTTTAGAAACAGAGTTTAAATAAACTTGTTGCTGTTTCAAAATTTGGTCATAGTTATAAATTCTAAAATTTATCACTACAATTAAATGAAAAACTACTTGTATTTCTCTCCAAACAATTTAAAACTATATTACATTTTGCATCACTAGTCCTATGAACTCTAACCACTATCATCTAAATTACATTACAGAGGTACATTAGTAAAAAAAGGGGGGTGGAATCTCTCACTTTACTCGACAAATTGACAAACTTCAACTTGCATTTTTTATGTCTCGAATGTGCTACTTAGGATGTATATTAGATTTATATATAGCTTTGTTCTAACATACATATTTTTGCATAGTTTCAAATTAAGTATTTAACAAAATAAACTAAGGTTTAAGCATTTAACACTTTTCGTCATATCCCATCTTTTTTGTAAAAAATATGTGAAGTAACGATTTTTATATTAACCATGTTACACAGAATGTTTGAAACAGCTAGTTTCTTCCTCATACTGTTACAGATTTTAGTATGTCAGTTACTTGTCTAAATTGTCAAAATTATCCAATTTAGAATATTTCCAACTAATATTAAGAATGGATCACTAGATGGCAGAGAATAAATATTGGATTTTGTTGACCGGAAAGTTTGAGAAATGCTTTATTCCTCTATCATTTGGTAAGCATGTTTTAACTCAAATATTTGTCCTCCGAGTTTTACTTTATGCTTAATTTTCAGCTAATATGTATAGAAAAATGAAATGCAGTCTCTCTGAAAAATACAACTAAAGTTTTCAGAAAATTTCATGAGAATACAAAATTTATGGAAATATAAGTCCTGCATAATATACAAATATTACACTGATTCTTGTTGTTTAATTTCTCCAATAAAGTATAAGGATATTGGCTAAAAGTGTTTTCAGTGTTGATGAAATCACTCTTCTTTTATCTGATGCCCTCAAAATACCTTGTATCTAAAAACATTCAGTTCAAATTTCTTCACTATTTTACTCTGAATCAACACCACAAAGATAAAACTGTATAAAGCAATGGAAAACTGTGTGTGTACATAGCACTTTAAATCAGAATGTAAATTATATATCATTTCTCATTTATGCATTTTTTTCTGAATGCTCACTGAAAGATGTATTAATGTGCTTGACTCTACTGTATTAATAGCACTTTCTCTTTCAATGTAGTATGCAGTTTTCAAAGGCATCATGATGAATACTGAGTGACAAAGTATTCTTTTAAAAGAAATGCAATTCAAATAAATAAAATAAAATTCCAAAAAAAATTATATGAATAAATATGCTTAAAGTTCATAGACCAAATGACGAAACAAAATTTTTAAAAATAATTATTTGAAAAAATATAATTCAACCATGCAACTCTTACAGTTAAAATAAAATTATAAAAAGGAACAAAATGTCTAAAAATAAAAACTGAGGTTAAAAAATATAACACAAAGTAAAAAATATATCCAAGATGGAAGATACATATTTTCACACATGCAAATAAAAGTGTTAGGGTGAAAGATTGGAGAAACTTTTTTAGACAAGGTCAGATTCTGGGAGTGATAGAAGGCTTCAAAATATTAATAGTTTATTTTTTATGCCTGCAATTTATGCTCTTAGTAATGATACAAACCATATGCAAAAGTAATCCACTCTGGATATTTTCTCTTGCTAGTGATTTTAACAATAGATGAAAGGAGACGAGTTGCAACTATATGCGCATATCCTTTCTTCTGTTTATTAGTTCTTAGGATATATAGATGTGATTCTGTAACTATCAGATGCCTAAAGAGAATAAGGTGCATATTAATTTTAGTAACAGAACTGATAACTAACATATTACACATTTCTAATAAATGATAAAATATATATAAAAAATTAATAAATACCCTGGATATCTAGTTTGCATATCTTTAATTTCTTCACAAACAAATGTACCAATAACTCCAGGCTTGTTTAGCCATGTCTGAATGTTAACTTCCTCGAATGATTCTTCTTCCGATTCAGAGAATCTGTCAGGATCTAAATGAATGAATACACTGAAAATATTTCAAGATAAAACTTATCAAAATTAACAGAATATAAACATGAGCAATTCCTTAGACCGTATGCAATTTTTTTTCCCTCACAGAAACAAATTCGTTACATAAAGTACTTCCATTTTAAAACACATTTCATTCCTCAACACAGAGTATTACACAAATATAAAATGTATGATATTTTGAAAAAAACTTGTTGGAAATTTTATGTTAATAAATTATTTGTATTCCAGCCTTTATTATAACTTCTTTCCATGTTCTTTACAAGAATGCAAATGAGCAGCCAGTACTTAAATTGAGGTTTTGGAATTTTAGGCACAGCTTGTTTCTGGCATCGCATACATGCTACTTGTTAGTTTTCTGCCAGCTCTGCTAGTTGTAATTATTCGGCTTTGCATTCTGTTGCTTAAATCTTGATGCTCCAGTAGAGTAGTGAGCCAGTTTCTAGTATAGTAATTAATTATATAAGTCTTTCTTTCCTGTTTCATGTTAACTGAAACTTGACTTTCTGTTTAGTTGCATCATCATAAGTTTCAGCTTATATTATAGCACAAGAAAGTGCCTTTGTATTCTAAATTCTGTTTAAATAAAAAGGTTATTTTTAACCTTCTATTGACTCTGTGATTGTTTCAGACATAGTGATAATTTTTTTCACATCTGTTACTGTTATTCGACTTATCCCCATTACCGGATCAAGTAGAACCATACAAGTGGTGCCTGAAGAAATTACGGATCATGTCGCAAGAAAGGCAATCTCCCTGGCTCCTCCCAAGACTGCAACCTGGTACCAGAAGTCCAGTAGAAGGCTTTGTGTTTATCATAAATACAATGTAAGCTATAATTAAACCAGCAAGCATTTTTGATGGCAGAAGTTCAGAGAGATGTTTCTGGAGCAATTAGATTCGCACTTTCTACCTTATCCGTTTCCAAAATACAGAAGGTCGTGACAGCAACTGCTCTGCACTTCAAGACAAAAAGCCTTGAGCCAGTACAAAGGTATCACTAAATTTTTGGTGGGTGAAACAGGCAATGAGAATTAAAAGTTTGACATATCTAAAACTGCCCTCATGAAAACATTCTCCATGGTAAAAGATAGGACAAAATTAGAAGTGGAACTGCTTGAAGCTATAATACTAAGGTCTAAGACTTGATGGAGTTCATATTAAGGAAAATACATGCAGAAAACTCGTATGGGAAAAAGTCTGATGTGGAAGTTAACCAAATAATATTGCCTAGATTAGCAAATTAAGGATTTTATTGAACTATGAAACCTAGGTACACTAGAGTAATTATCTGAGTTAGCGGTAAGTTTAAAAGTAGGGGGAATATCAATGAAACATGCCCACAGGTATATAAGCAGATGTCATACGGACATTTTCATAGATCAGAAGCAAAAAGAAGCCCAAAGTTTGATGGCAGTAGCCGTTTTGATAACCAGAAAAAATTTTCACATGCTAATGGTGATCATGAAAATAAATCTCAGACAAGAGAACTGAGGGAAGATACTAAGAATTTAAACTAATCAGGGCTACTGAAATACAGAAGTATAGTCACTCTGGAAAGAAAAAAAAAATCTCTCTTTAACATTCAATTAAATACAATGTCGATAAAAAAATTTTTCCACCCTGTGATTTAAATTCTATTAATAATGTACCAGCTGTTGCATTTTGGATACACAAATGCAAAGTAGTTTTTTGGCGGAAATTATTTTTGGGGAAAGCCTTTAAATAGCATATAGTGTTTGGTGTTGAGGCAGTGAAAGCAATCGTTGCTCAAGGCAAACACTGTAAATGCGTTAGAAAAGTCACCTTATACATGCAGGTGAAAACCGAACTTCGGAAGATAGTTTCCTTTGTAGTGAAAAATCTGCAGGTGAATGTAGAGATGGATATTTTACAGATTGTGCATGTGAAAATGAATTTTCAGGAAGCTACTCTGCAGTTGGACATGAATGAGTTTGTGGAAAATGAAGACCAGTTGCCAGCTTTGTGTTTGAATGAGATGAGATAGCAAAGCTCAAGCAGTTAAGAAAATTTGCAGATTTACTTAATAAGTCCCTAGGAATGACTCAGATGGTAATTCACATTTATAACACATATTTTCTTCTTATCCATTATTAAAGATTCTCGGGGTTAATAATTAAGATTAAGTATGATGAACACCAATTTATTTATGAATTAATACATGAAAAAGAAATAATAAAAGAGAGAAATTTTTACTACATAGCTCGGCCGAAGCATTCAAATCCTAACTCTAAGTTCATTGTGTCACATGACCTGTTTAAAAAAAAAAAAAGAATGTTTATATTTTTGCGAATCTCGCATCACGTGACCTAGAGCAGATGCTCTGTTTTAAGAATGACTCATGCCATCTGTTACACAGAATAGAAACCGCAAGTCCCCCTCCCCATGCCGAGCTAAACCCTACTGCTATCACAAGGTCAAGGTAGGAAAAAAGGAACAATATATTGCAGAAACGCTAAAGAAAGTAGCCCTTACAATATCCCTGTAGTATTATGCTGAAGGAAAATCTCCCATCTACTGATTTTAAAGCATGCCTTTTTGCTATTAACTGTAGAAAATTAAATAGCATTACAAATTATCCTGTTTCCCTTGTCCCAATATCTTACAGCTATCTTTTGAATTGTCATAAATGCTGACTGGTTTTGTAAGCACAAGATGTGCTTTGTGTTAACTATTTGGTTCTTAATAAAACGGTCTTTTACAGCCTTCTTTTATTCTGTTTCATGAATGAGACATAGCGATAATTCCCTGAATTCTTTCAGTCTCGACCTTGTGTATCCTTTCAAAAAATTTGAGACTCTATAAAGTAAATTGTTCTGTTCACTTCTTTGTAAAAGTTACGGCTTCAGATATTGTGTATGTTAAAGTATAAGCCAGTGAGTGATAATGATTTTGTAGTGAAATTAATTAGTTAAAAGTTAGACTCTCCAGCCAATAAATAAGATATAATGAAAATTAAGCTTAGAACATTATGTAAAATGGAATGTTGTTGAAGTCTAGTATGTCTAAGTTATTAACATATAGGATTTCAGTTAGCAGATAGCATGTTGGAAATTCTGCATACTTTCATACTCACTTGTATACATTACAATGCTAGACAGCAAGAGTAAGAAACTGAGTTTAAACGGAAAAGTTAGATTTTTTTTTTTTTTTTTTTAATGGCAAGTTCAAATGTATAAATATTAAATCTGTATGGAAATGAGTGTGAATTAAATTGAGATGATATGAAGATTTGTAGAATTAAACTTCTGTAAACATTTAAATTTAGTTTTCAGATATTTAACTTCATGTTTTGTAACAGTTAGCTCATGCTGTAGGTTTAGAAGTTAAAATCTTAGCAAAGTTGTAAAAGACCTTCATTGCAATTAAATTCTGGTAGAAAAAAATGTGAGGAATTTTATATTCATTAACTAGTTATTCATAATTTCAGCCATTACTGTAACTTCTCTTTTCATATTCCTTACCAGAATGCAAATGAGTAGCTAATATTTAAACTGAGGTTTTGGGATTTTAAGATAGAGCATTTTTCTATCATCATGTGCACAATAATTAATAGTTTCCTGCCAGCTCTGACAGCTGCAATTATTTGGCTTTCAATTCTATCACTGCCAACACGTAAAGTTCTGATGCTCCAGAAGTAATGAACCAACTTCTATTATATTTATTATAGTAACACTACTGTTCCACGTTTAACTTAAATCTGACTGCTCTATTTAGTTGCATCAAACAAAAGAGACTGCCTTTGTGTTTTAAATTCTGTTTAAATAAAAATGTTATTTTTAACCCTATCATGACTTTGTCATTGTTTCAGACATAGCAATAATTTGCTTCATGTCTATTAAGATTATTGGAATAATTAGCAATACCCAATCAATTAAAAACCTACAAACTGATCAGCAATATCACTTCAAACACAGGTATATACTAGCCTCAACATGACAAAAAGGTCTTTTTTAAAACAGTTTAAAATTTTCAAACGAAACTTAATAAATTAATTCAAGCCAATATTGCTTCCCAACTAGTATTATTTCAGCTTACTTTCCTGTCACTGACATTCTTATTTCTTCATATATACCACTTCACTATATAGATTTTAGTCATACAACTAGTCAACCATCAGCTGATATTTATTCATACATCACAGTAGTAATACTTGAGCAAAATAGTAACGCGCATTGTGCCTTCCCTCTCCAAAAAAAGATGAAAAAATAGATGTGTACCTTCATCATCTCCTATGCTAAAAACTGGGGCCATCCCTCGATAGCGTTTTCCAAGGCGATCACTGCTACTTACATGCCTGTTAAAAAATTACATATTATTTTGAAGTTTTTTGCAATATCTTTCATTAATTACAGAATAAATATTTAAAAACAATCATAGTAACCCATAACTCTGTGTGGACATATTGCTATTAAACTCTGTGATATGTTGATTTACCAAAAATTTTATAAATGTCTAAGTTCAAAAGGCAATTAAAACATGTTTTAACCACAGTGCTTTCAAACAACTATAACAACATTATAAGGTATTTCTCCCACTTTTCTAGTGTGCCTTTGTGGTGTAACGGTAGCACGCTAGGCCGGTATTCCAGAGGTAGGTCCGCGGTTTGATTCCCGGCGAAGGCGGTTGCATATTTTTCACCTTTTCTGCTTCCAAAAATACCTAATGCCTCTACAGTGGCGCCCGAACTAAAAAAGGGTTGTGGATGATGATTCTCCGCACCCAGGATTTGCCGACTAGGTCCCCTAAAACCCTAGTCGCCCTTTAAAAAGGGGAGTATATAAGGTATTTCTCCCACTTTCCTAGTGTGCCTTCGTGGTGTAACGGTAGCACGCTGGGCTGGTATTCCAGAGGTCCGTGGTTTGATTCCCGGCGAAGGCGGTTGTATATTTTTCATCTTTTCTGCTTCCAAGAAAATCCTAATGACTCTACAACATAAGAAAATATCTGTTATAAATAAGAAACAGAAAAATATTTATAGATTAAGTGATTTATTTGCCAGACTTTTCAAACTTCTGTATCCAAAAGATTTTTCTAATATATTTCTTGGGGAATGGGACATATAAATTGAAACATATTTTTACTAATTTTTAACAATTATTAAGATCTTATGTTTGAAATTATTAATCATTACAAAGTAACTTGTCACTTCCTTCACACCTACTGTAAATAGGCAGATATATTTAACTAATAAAAAAACGTAAACAAATAGAAACATCCTCACCTGTCTTCCTCAGACTGAGGGTTTGTAATGTATTCTACAAGCCTACTTTTCACAGTTCTTGCTAACTATAATGAAACAGAATAAAGTAAGACTAAATTCAGCCCATTTTTGTAACATTTAGAACACCTGATTAGCTTCCCTTTAATTACAGTTATGTTTAACAGAACATATATCACCAGACTTAATTACACAGTATAATTAACCCTCCAAATGATAAAGCCATCTCCTCCCCCACATATATATGAAATAATTTGAAATGTTGAAGTTTCTAGTATAAAGAAGAAGCCTGCAGTTATGTCTGATTTTAACATTTCTTTGTATTATCATTGACAAATATTTTAATAATTTACAGTTATGTTTAACAGAACAATTAATAATTATTTAATTACAGTTATGTTTAACAGAACATATATCACCAGACTTAATTACACAGTATAATTAACCCTCCAAATGATAAAGCCATCTCCTCCCCCACATATATATGAAATAATTTGAAATGTTGAAGTTTCTAGTATAAAGAAGAAGCCTGCAGTTATGTCTGATTTTAACATTTCTTTGTATTATCATTGACAAATATTTTAATAAGTCAACACAGATGAATTAGCAGAGTAAGCAGTTCTGATGTAGTTCTTTATTAACTACATCAGAACCATAAGAATTCTGAAATACATTTAAAAAACGACACAGCAACAGGCTAATAGCAGGATAAGCAGAGACTAAACTGTCATGCATTCAAGATGAAATCCTCATTCAGAATGATATAGTTACTATTCTGATTTAATTTCTATGGGCTAATAATTATTTCCAAAAATTATTATTGGCTAAAGTATTTATGTAAAAGCTGACATCATTAGCATTATTCAAGAACATTATGATAGCCATTAATTTTGAAATGACATAATTTAGAGAGGTTTATTATATACATTTGTTATTCTTGGGACAGAAGGGGGAAGGGACTATTGCAAGTTAAAGTTAAAATTTTGCCTTACATATTTTTTATTTTATATATATATATATATATGTATGTTCAAACATATTTGTACCAATATCTTCAAAAACGCATACTTGTGCACCTTGACAAGAGCTCAAATTAATAAAATAAGAGAAAGAAATGAATCCAGCTACAAAATGACAAGAACATTTTAAAATTAATATTAAGAAAATACCTCTTTCACATAACCTTTTTTGAGAACTTAAAAGAATTCATAAAACACATAAAAAGACAGATGCATCTAAACAACAAAATTTGCTTATGTCAATATTTAAAGATTTATTATTAATAAAATTAATGAATATTTTATGGATAATAAAAGTAATCAAAATTTCATTTGAAATATTGCATAATAAAAATTTTAATTTAGTTAATGGACAATAACATAAAAAAAATGGCCCCAAATTAGTCACTAGACAATATGATGAAACAACATTCTGAGTGTAGTCTCATGAATCAAGAAATTTGAAATGTTCCAAATCAGCATGAATACCTAAATAATTTTAAGTTTGAGCTGATTTAAAATATCTTGACCCAACAAAAGCCAAACATTTAATTAGCCAAGCATAATGAATTTTATTTTCAAAAATTAAATCTTTTTGCAACACTTAACATCTAGCCAATATAACATACAGACTAAACCGTTCATGACAAACGTCCTGCAGGCCTGACACAATTCCACTCTTACCAGCCCAGTGTCTCTTCTATGTGAAAAGCTCCAACCAATCTCTTCAGCCAAGTGTCACATATGTGCAATTTTAAAACAGAATGATTTATTTGAATTTTTTAAATTTTACTAGTTCTGCATTTCTCAGAAAAAAAGCCATCCTTGTCCTCTGCATTGATCCTTGTTTTAAATTATTCCACACACATCAGAATTTTTAAATTGGAATTTGAATACTTCCAGATAATTATCGCTAAATTTTCTTTTAAATTTCATATTTGTAATTTAGTTTTCATGTGTATAGTGTTTGTTTTCATGTGCTTAGTTATACTTTTAATATTTCACATGTTTCATTTATTTTTTAATAATGTGATATTCTTTATATTAATACACATTAAGAATTAGCATATTAAATATGTAACTTCAAAAATTGAGGTCATTAGATTAAAATATTGAATTTATATGAATTTTTTTTTAAATTAGGTTTAACCGCTGAAAATTCATGGGCCGGTGGTGACATTCCATTTCAGGGGTTTCAGTCCCATGACTGCATTTCGTTATCCACACGCTGGTCATCAAAGGGTTAACTAACAGATATATTATTTTCTTTGCCTCGGACATGAATTGGCTTACACAGTTTTAAAATCAAAATTAATAACTATAACTACATTGAAAGCCCTGTAAAACTCAGAGCTGTTGTAGATGACTTGTCCTATAAGTTTCAATCTGAATGGCATGTCATCTTCTCTTGTTCTCCTCACTTTGCTGTGTGGGTTCTCATCAGGTTTTTGGGGAATTTGGTTTGTTGCACTTTAGAGAATGGCCATCCCGATGCATGAGAGATCAAAAGGAGTTTTTTACTGATCAATAGGTTCCAAATTAATTTTTATTTATGTGCTTCTTGCCAATCCTAGCTTTGTCTCACTTACTTCACGGTGCAAATGATATGAATGAACATTTAATTAAAAACATGTTACTAATATTGATTGAATTACAGCTTGAGAGTTTATGTACACCTTTTTCGGGTGTGCTCTGAAATTCTTGTTAATTGAAGGATGCTGAATTAATATACTGCATAACATTTTCTACTTTTTTATCATTAAAAGACATACTGGACACATATCAAATATGAAATAACAGAAAATAATGTGCAGCAATTGTGTAACATCCTGAAAGTAAACAACAAGAATTATGGAGCACAGAAAAGATGTGCAGAATATTTAAACAATAACTGCATTTATGTAAATAAGTAATACTGCAATTATATCATCAATTATATATATCAAAGATCACCCTTCTACAGATTGGGACAAAGCACAAACTATCAATAAGCCCATGCATAAAAGCAAGTCATAATTACAGACACCACTAAAATAATCATTATGTCACGTTGCAATAAAGAATTTCAGTCTTGAAACTATCTGGATTCTCTGAAGTACAACAGCCTAAACATCAAGAAAAATTATAGAAACCCAAATCCAATGCAAATCCAACTCAACATATATATATATATATAAACATGAAAAGGTGATACATAATTTGGATTCATGCTAATGATGCAAAGACTTCAACCATTAAAACACTCGGTTTTATAGAAATCTGAATCTATTTATTTTTTCCGCTTTTTTCAACTTGACATGATATACATTCTCAGATTATAACAATTTAAATCAAATATATTTTAAGTGCAGAAAACAATGAAAATACTACATCAAAAAGCTTCTTCTTCAAGTTCATGAATGCTGTAGAAGTATTTCTTTGGGTCATTGCTTTTACTTATTAACTATGGCAAAGTACTTAAAAGACCAACTGCCTTGGGAAGTTGCTTTTCTACAGATTTTTCTAATAAAGATTAATAGATATTTTACAAAAGAAAAACTGTAAAAGCTTTTCAACTTTTTCCATCAAAAATCAGACCCTGTACAAAATCTATCAAATTTCAACAACAAATAATGCAAACAATTATGTATCATGAATTGTAATTTTCCACCACTAGGTAAATGATTTGCTTATTATAAAGGAATAAATACACTAATCTGCGAATAAAACAAGATTAAATAGGAGAAACAAAGACAACACAACCAAATGATTTTCAAATGTTGAAATAACATGTGCACCATACTACATTAAAAGGACTGCTGGCTCTTCTAAATTCTACAACATAAAACATAAGTAAAACAGCCCACACCCCATGAATCTTTTATGAGATCTAAAGTCTAGTTCATTAAAAATTAAACCTTTAAAGGTGTTCTTAAACACATACAAATAATAATAAATCATAATTATCATTATTATATACACTATGAAAAGAAACAAACACCTCATCTGGGAACACAACAATTATAAAAAGTTGCTATATTTAATTAAAAACTGCATTACCTGGTCAAAAATTGAAATATCTTTTTCACTAGAATCTCCATTAACTGTATTATATGATAGACAAACTAAGCAACTTTTTGAACAATGAGAGGCCAAAACTGTATTAATCTCACTGGACGGAATAATTTCATGTAAAGCTAAAGAAACAAATACATAAATAAATTAAAAAAACACTGAATTTTAAGTTAATAATTATCACTCAACAGCTTTATCACATTCAAATTTTAATGAAAATCAAAACAGCTCACTTTATTAAAATTTCACTATAAAGAACTATATTTCTGCCTGCTAAAACATTTTAACAAAGAATATCAGCTCTATGTTGCATGACAACATAAAGCAATGTTGATTGTACATAAGACTGAAAATCTGCTAGGAACATAAATTCAGTCCCTAGAAAACAAATATAATAGCAAGGGGAAAAAAATCGCTGTTTTTTATCACTAAAATTTAACTGAAATGAGGTTATAGGTATTTTGTTAAAAGAAAAAAAGAAAAACTGGGGGGGGGGGGGAAGCAAGCATAAATCTCCAAGTCTAACAAAAGTACAACCCAAGACCTGCAATCTCTTACAGTAATGCAGTAACTAAGCACTGTGAAATATTACTACAGTTATAAAGAACTTCAAGGAACCAAACATTTGGTTCACTATATCTGATATAATAAAGAAAAAATGCATCACTTCACCAAATAATGTAAAACTTGATTGATGAATCACACAGTAAGTGATTAGCTTTGTAACATCTCCCAAAATTGTTCACAACTTTAATTAAAAAATAAATAAATATAAAATACAAAATAAAAGCTATTTATTACAGTCAAAAGTCTTTAATCCGGACTCGTCAGGACTTCGGCAATTCTGGATTATAGGTCATCAGTTTAAATCTGGTAAGATGGCATGCAGAAATTATAAAATTAAAAATATGAAACCATAATTTATGAAAAAAAGAACAATTATGATCCAAAGCAGTGTTTCTTAAACTTTTTTGGCACAATGAACCACTTTAAAAATTTTAAATGTCACGGACCCTCTGTGAAAAAAAAATTGCTTAAACATCATTTATTACAAAAATATATTCTGTTTTATTATTTAATTATTTTAATATTTTTATTTCAATAGTATAAAAAATTTGAAGAAATTAAAATTTTTAATGTGAAGGCTGTTGCTGCTTTTCCTTGATTAACAGATTGAATTGAGGGATGGTTTTCGACAAAGTAACGCGCATATCATGTTTGACATTCAGTCTATTTCGATGTTTTGTTTTTATTGTGACAGGTGTGGAAAATCCCGCTTCGCAAAGATATACTCTAGCAAACGGAATAATGGCTGCCATAGCTTGTTTTACAAGCAATGGGTAGGCTTCTCTTAAAGAAGACCAAAACTCTCCAAGAGTTTTTGAATCGAAATCCATTTTTAACAAGGACTTTGTTTTCAAATCAATTAGCTCATCTTTCGCAAGGTTCATGTCATTGATACAGTCAATATCACAAAGAAAAGGATTACGAATCCCCAACTCATCTTTTATATTTATACCATCCGAATTGAAATATTTTTCAAATGAAACTTGAAGTACTTCCAGGTGTTCACAGATTTCATTTTTCAAGTTATTCAATAACAAACTATCTTTCCAAGAACCATTTTCAAAAAGCACTTCGTCCAACATTTGAAAGTTTGCATATATCCCATTTTTAATTCTAATTTTCCAAAATGACATTTTCAATAAAAATGCCTGTAGTTTCTCAGTGGCATCCATAATTGTTGTATCAGGCCCTTGAATTGAAAGACTTATATCATTCATGTGGTTAAAAATGTCTGTCAGGTAAGCCAATTTACATACAAAATCTTTTTTCTTGAAGTATTCGAAGAGTGAGTTATCGTTTTCTTCTAAAAAAAGTGATACTTCTGTATTCAACATGAAAATTCGTTTCAAAACCTGCCCTCATGACAGACAGCGCACTTCCGTGTGGTACAAAAGTACCTTCATGTTCTGCGTTCATTTCTTGACACAGTATTTTAAAAAGACTATGATTAAGAGCTCTACTTCTAATAAAATTCACAGTTTTAATAACTATTGACAATACTTCTTTTAAGCTGGTTGGAAGAGTTTTTGTAGCCAGTGCATGTCTATGTAAAAAACAATGTGCAACAATAACATTAAGAGCCTCTTTTTTTGCCAAATGGGCAAAACCAGATTTATTGCCAAGCATCGCAGGTGCTCCATCCGTACAAAGTGAATGAAGATTTTGTTTCCAGTCAAAGTCGTGTTTGGTAAAGAAAACATTTAAAATCGCTAAAACATCAACTGCCTTTATAGTTTGCAAAAGAGGCTCACAAAATAAGAATTCTTCTTTGACAGTATCAGCAGACACATAACGAACAAAAACGAGAAGTTGACTACAATTCGAGATGTCTGTAGGTTCATCCAGTTGCATACTAAAGGGAAATGGCGATGCTTTCAATTCATCGATGATCTGTTTCAAAATATTGCAAGAAATTTCAACTATTCTTGAATGTATCACATCCTTGGGCTATGGTATAGCCTCAAGTTTATTTCTCTGTTCCAGTCCACAAACTAATTCAACCATCTCCAGCACACATGGCTTAATTATTGTCTCTCCAATAGTATGCAGTTTCTTACTTTTGACAATACGATACGCAACTCTGAAAGATGCCTCAACCAATGGTTTTTGTGAAATACCAAATCCAAGTTTGGTTAATGTTCCAGATTTCGAAAACTGGGCTTTCTTTTTTGTAAAAAATTGTAGATCTTTAGATGCATTTTCAGGATGAAGAGATTTGAGATGCTCTATCAATTTTGCCGGTTTCATAATGGCATTTGCCAAAACTTTTCCACACAGAAAGCATTGTGGCTTTTCAACACCGTCCGATTCCTTCATGCAGCAGAATCCATATTTTACATAATTTTCATCATACTTCCTTTTTTTGGACATTTTTGGCTACAAAAAAAATCAAATAATCAAATGAAACATTAAGACACACACACACACACACAAAAAAAAAAAAAAAAAAAAAAAAAAAAAAAAAAACTTGAAAAAAAAAAATACTTTAATTACAACTTATGAGAAAGTAAAACAAATATTTTGTTTTAAAAATTTGCAAGAACTTAGCGGAACTGATTTTAACGTCAATTTATTTCCAAATGAAGTAAAATTCAAAGGCTACTTTGTGTTTCTAAAAATTTCAAATTTTATATGGTTTGCGAATGTTCTTTTCCTTGTATTGTGGAGGTCTCTATTATTGGAAAATGGCAGACAGACGGCTTACAGAGGTTGCCCGTGACAAAAAAAGGTTTTTTTTAAATATTGATGCAAACATTTTAAAAATATGACCTATGGACCCCCGAACCACAGGTTAAGAAACACTGATCTAAAGGGTATCAAAATTTACAAAAAAAAAAAAAAAAAAAAAAAAAAAAAACTTTATATTTATTTGTTTACTTTATTAAACATTTCTTTCAATGCACGCATGCATAAAGCATACATTACGCATAGTCGAAATTAGAAAACTGCAGCCAGAAAACTGTTTTATGTGTATTTGTGATATTTATAATGACGAGGAACTTGATTTAAATCATATCAAAGACGGAGTACATCAAGATGAAATACTACATTTAGTAAGGAATTATAAGCCAAATAAAATAAAAACATCTGCCCTGAAGATAAGGATAGTGCTGACAGATCAACTTCCAATTCATTGTGCACCGCGAATTTTGTTTTTCCTCGAGGGGGGAGCACATTAAACTAAGAAAATGAATTGCTCCCTAATCAAGATTCACGCCACAATCTGTAGTTGCCACATGTATTAACCCCTTTACTGGCAAGGTCTATATTATAGTCTAGAATACTTTTTTTTATGTCTGTAAGAGCATATGTATATGTATCTTGAAATATGTCCAGGAAACTAAGGCAATATATTAAGAGTACATAAATCTAGCTATAAAGGACTATGGGCATTTTGGCATTAAAATCAACACCTCTTTCCCACGGCAGGTTTCAGAACTTTGGGCTTTATTAGTGAAATCCCATAACATCTCATGAGCATGGAAGGAGGGATTACCATAATTCCTCACTACTTCAGCAGGGAAATTTTCTTATTTGTTTTCATTTAGAACTGTTGATTTTTCATGTTTTCTGCTTCAAAAAGATTAATACTCTCTACAAAATTGTATTTTCTACTAACACTGTCCTCAATTACATTGGTCATCTCAGTGGCAATCATATTATTCAGTTGCTTTAGGAATATCTAACCATAATTTACTACGTAACTGAAAGCAAATATATATATATATATATCATATATAAACAGAAGCATTTCCTTCCAACAAACATATTTTAATAAATTGCCTTTATACTGCCATTCTCAAATCAAAGCTACAAAAAAGTTGCTCATATGTTCATATTTCAGATACATTCAAGAATCAAAAATTGTCAGTTGCAGAACACAAAATTTATATATTTCTTAACATATCACTTCCAATAAAAATTAGGCTAATTATCATTAATTAATTATGCAGGAAATTAAGAAAAAAAGCCAGCAGGATTATGATAAATTAAAGCAAAAAAGGAGGGAAATTAGATTATTTTCAGTCTGTATACCAAATAATGGTGAATCTGAAAGACTCCAGAATACTTAAAAAAACAGGCTCTTAATATTAAAAATTCATACCAGTATAGCCTCCATGAGCCAAACTAACAAATCGCTGATGTTTCTGTAAAAAACTAGCAACAACCATGTGCACATATTGATCTTCTTCTTCCCTACCACTACCAACAAAACAAATATGTTCTCCAGCAGCAACAGAACCAGCAATAATGGCTTGCTTTTTTGCAGCAAACAAAGCTTCAACAGCAGTCCCAAAAGCTGCAGGTTCTCGAAGCATCTATAAGAAAAATGCAATATTAAACAGAAGAAAATATATTTGATAAAAAATATGCATATATAATAACAAAGTTTCAGACATAAATCATGTTACAATAGTGTTCGTAGTACATCAATTATTAATGATTTGAGACACTTTAATTAATGCAGCAATCAGAATCTTAAAACTAACATTCAAAAATAATCTTTAATAATAAGTATTATGTAATTGTCTCATGTCCACTTAACATTCATGAAAATTCAGCATCGATGTAATAAAAATCATTAAATATTATTTCACTGCATATGAACATAAATAGATCAAATTTATGAAATAATTACTCAAACTGCTTTAGAATCTAAGTACCAATACAGTTTATTTTCCAAACATCTACTGTATGATAAATATTTTCAAGATTTATTTTTAAAGGAGGAGAGGAATACTGTTAAAGGTAATTTTCCAGTTTTAAGATTGTACAAAAACTCTAAAGAAAAGAGAAAAAAATCTGCCACTCTTAAGTTCTCTTCTACTACAAAAAATTCTATTTTTATAATTTCAAATGAAATTTTCCACTGCTTCCAACTATGATCCAAAATAAATCTGGAAATCTTTACATTATGTTTCACAGCTGCTAATTTAATACTGATAGCAAACACAGCACACATCTTCCAAAATCAACTATATATATATATATACTTTTGTTCAAAAAAATCACAGAGAAATTTTTAATTGATTTTTTTACTACCTAACTTTTTTTTTTTTAGAAATTTTTAACTGATTTTTTTACTACTGTTTGCTCATGTGTGTAATAATAAAAGGAGAAAAATACAAATTGTTTCCTATTTAATTCTTTTAATTCCTTATTAAAAATTTTTAAAAAATATTTTACAATGCTTATCTACTATGCTATTATTAATCATTTCATACATATATATGTATTATAAATCATTTTGTTACTACATGACCAGATAAGCTGACGACACGGCAATAGTCTCTAAATCAAGATAGCCCAATCACACACTGCCCAAGCTTCAGGAAAGATCCCTGCCATCAAGAATTGGTGCTGCTGTTGGAAAACTAGCATTCAGTCAGAAAAATCCAAAATACTGCTCATCAGAAAATATCGCAACAGAGATGAAATTAAAAACAAGATCAAACACTTCAGAGTTGACATTCCAAGAGTTAGCAATGCCAACTACATGGAAGCTATGCTCAATAGAAATGTTCTGTGGACTGACCACATGGCCCGAATGTGTGGCAAAGCTTATGGAATAACTTTCAGGCTCTTCCTATTATTAAAAAAATGATCAGTTTTTCCTGAGTTTAAAGAAAAGACTTTACATCTTAGTCAATTCGACCAATACTGACATATGCCTCTACTGCCTGAGCAAATGCTAGTGAACATTAGGAAACTTCAAGTTCTCCAAAACAAGGTTTTAACAAGGTTCGTAATGTATGCTGCCTGGTCATCAGTAACAGAAATCTTCATGAGGACCTTAAACTGAAACCAATTAAGGATTTTACCAACCAGATTAATGATAAGGTCTTTAATAGAGTATTCCACAACAGCTCGGCAAAGTTTGTGAATGTCTTGAGCTACAAAATCCTTGAGGAGGACAATAGTTTTAGCTCATTTGCTAGCCAACCATTAACAGCACAGGATGCCTATGCAACAACTTGATTTTGAAGAAACCTCACTTTCTCCAAATGACTCTTCCACCATTCTCTCATATGGACCTTAAATTTATGATAATTTTGAGTGATCATTGTGTATATACAGTCAAAAGTCTTTAATCCGGACGTTCATAATCCAGAATGATCTATAATCCGAACCTCGAAGCTACAAACTTTCTGCGCATGTGTCGATGCGTAATGCGTTGACGCATGCGGATAATACCTTTATGCATGCACATATGCGTCTACACATGCGCATAATACGTTTACGCATACGCATTTAATGTATAACGGACGGTATAAGCTAAATTTATTTACCGTAATTTCGCGCGTATAGTCCGCGGACTATCTGTGTTTAAAATGTGAATTTTTGAAGCTGCGGACTATCCACCAGTGCGGATAATATGCTGGTTGTTCATGGTTAAAATCGTTGAAATTTAAAAAACACGCTGTCGTGAACTGCCGATGATCAAATATAAAAAAAGCGAGAGATTCCAAGAAAACATTTGTATCTATCGTATCGATCGTCAACTCTGTTTTTAGGAGCCTTAGTAGCAAGTACCTGGAGTACGAAAAAAAAGCGTGAATCGTTTACTTATAGCGTGGTTTGGCAACACCGAGTGAGTGGGGTCGAAGGTCACATTTCATTAGCACTTACCATGAGGATAGCACGTGGCACAGTATTTTGTCTTTCATCTTCGATAACGTTGATGAAACATCGCCTTTTTTTCTATTTATACTTAGTTCTTTGTTTCTAAAATACATTAATATTGCCGTATTAAAAAAAAGTAATTTCGAACGTACAGTCCGCGGACTATCTGGTGGTGCGGACTATCTGATGATTTTTGAAATTTTTTTTATATAAAATCGTGTCTGCGGACTATACGATGGTGCGGACTATACGTGCGAAATTACGGTAATTATCTATTTCAGTCAATGTTGCAGATTGCGTTGTTCCTTAATCTTCTAATTAGATTCGATGTTTATTATTTTTTGCAGACTGTTAGAGCAATTTTATAAAAGTAAGCTTGAACTTTCGATTATGTCAAAAAGAATTTCCGATTCTAGAGCTACCAAAGTATCTACAAAGCGAAAGCATGTTCCGATGCCCATCAAACAAAAAGTGGCATTGCTGCAAAAAAAAAAAAAAAAAAAAAAAAAAAATGGATAAAGGCATATCCTTTGATTCTCTAATCATTCCGAAATATGTTTATCAATTTCACGCTGCTCTGTGGTGGTGGTGGGGGCGGGAACGGCGCGGCGCGCAATGAACTGGAAGTTTGTCTGTCAGCACTATCCTTACATTCAGGGCAGATGTTTTTATTTTATTCGACTTATAATTCCTTACTAAATGTAGTATTTCATCTTGATGTACTCCGTCTTTGATATGATTTAAATCAAATTCCTCGTGATTATAAATATCACGAATACACATCAAATAGTTTTCTGGTTGCAATTTTCTAATTTCGACTATGCGTAATGTATGCTTTACGCATGCGCGCATTGAAAGAAATGTTTAATAAAGTAAACAAATAAATATAAAGCTTTTTTTTTTTTTTTTTTTTTTTGTAAATTTTGATACCCTTTAAGTCATGATTTCTCTTTATTTCATAAATTACGGTTTTATATTTTTAATTTTATAATTTCTGCATGCCATCTTACCAGATTTAAACTGATGATCTATAATCCGGAAAAAACTGATAATCCGGAATCGCTGAAGTTCCGACGAGTCCGGATTAAAGACTTTTGACTGTATATACTTTTTATGCTTCTTACTGAATCTGAACATACGTGATATGGACTTTGTACCTGCAAGCCAAATGGACTATCTGTTCCTAGTAGCAAGCCTGCAAGTGTTCCTAGTAGCAAGCCTGCAAGTGACAATTTAATTGCTGTCTTCTGGAAAGAACAGTTTTCTACTATAAACAATAAATATATGTTCAGTATTTATTTATCTGCAGTTATTCTCAGTTATGAAATCTTCAGGTAGGAGAAGATTTTTCGCCCATTTGTTGCTCATGTTCAGTTGTCACTAAAAGGAATGTGCTGTTAGAAGTTGCCACACTGTTTGACCCCTTAGGCTGGTTAGCCCCAGTTACAATTTTTGCAAAAATATTTCTTCAAGACTTGTGGACTGACAAGTTAGATTGGGATGAAACTCTTAATCCACAACGACCAACCATTTGGACTGGTTTTCAAGGAGAGTTAAATTTGCTTAGCAATTTAAAAATTACTAGAATGATTTTAATTGATAATTATTGCAAGATAGGGTTACATGCCTTTTGTGATTCATTTGAGAAGGCATATCGTGCAGTTATTTATGCTTAATCGTTTTCTGAAGAAGATATTGATATGTGCAAAATCAAGAGTTGCACCACCTAAAGCGCAATGTTTACCACAACTAGAACTATGTCCTGCACTATTGCTAGCAAATCAAGATAATATTAAAATGCTTGAATGTTCCTGGTAGTAATTGTTTTGCATAGTCAGATTCCACTATCCTTTTATTTCGGATAGCATTTGAATCACGGAGATGGCTTCCTTTCGTAGCCAGTCGAGAGTCAAAAATTCCACCTGCCATTCCTGAGGTGACATGGAATCACGTTCAAGAGAAAAATAATCCTGCTGATTATGATACTAGAGGATTACAACCTAATGAATTGATTGAATGTGATCAATGGTTCAGTGGATATTCCTGGTTACAGAATTTTAATCCGGAATCTGTATTGAATGAACAAATGGAACTGGACAGTCAAGAAGTAGACAAGGAAGAAAGAAAATGCATTACTTCTAATTTAGTTAAAATTGATGATGACTCTTTCTTTGCAAATTTTCATCTTAGATAAAATTATGCCATATCATTGCTTATTGTTTATAATTTATCAACAATTGTTTGAAGCGCATTTCTAAGAAAACATAATTTCTTGTCAGTCAAGAACCTAAGAATGTGACTTGTACGATAATAAGGATTTTGCAACATTCTGAATTTCCTGAAGTATAAAGCTTAAAGGGTGGATAATCTGTGAAATTGAACAGCTGCATACTTTCATTAAGCCCATTCCTTGATGAAAGAGAGATTATTCGCATTGGAGGACGATTAAGGAATTCAAACATTTTGGAAAATTAAAGACATCCTATGCTCATTCCTCAAAAACATTTCATTTCTAAGCTCATCATTAGACATTATCACCAAATCTATTTGCATGCATCTCCTGCACTTTTGCTTTCTATAATAAGGTTTTAGATTGTTGCTACTAGATCTGAAATAAGAAAAATTATTAAGAATTGTGTTGTTTGCTGTAGACATCATGGCCAAGTCGCAAAACAAATAATGGCTGACCTACTAT